GTAGGTAAGTAAACTGCTTTGATTTCCAATCACGAAAGCTTACTGGGCGGCGCTTAGCCTCATATCAAGCCTGTCATTCCGCCTGGCCTAGCCCTAATCTCTATTTTATGTTTATGAACATGATAGCCTGAGTCCCAAGGTAAACGGAAGCTAAAAGTTGATATGTACCAGTATTAGATAAAGGTTAATAAAGGGTTCAAGCTGTTTTGAAGAAATTCAAAATAGAAATGGAAAATATTTCTCTAGATCGTCACACATAAACGGCGCGCGTCCAGCTTTCCTCAAGTTACTAAAAAGCCGCGCGTACATTAAGGAAATGTCTCATAAGCTCGCACAGTTGAGTTTTCGCATTGGATAATATTTCGTTGACGTTATTTAGAACGCAATATCTTGAAGCGTTCTCATCGCTGGTTGGTTGAATAAAGCAGATTTTGATGACGACATCTTTCAAGAAGGTCACATGGCCTTCTTCGTCCAATTGAATGAAGGTATAATTACGTCAACGAAATCCAGCGTGGTTGCTGAACCTTCTCTGCTGCGTGTGAGTAGAGCAATGTGAGACAGTGTGTAAGTTTTGCTGGACTCTTTCATTGATCCGTATAAATTGCTTGTTAACCATCACTTTTTTTCCCCCGATTTTGTTGGGTCTCTGCCCAGCTCTGCGTTTCTAATAGTTTCCACATGACACCCTTGTTTGGTAGATACAGTCGGTTCAGTGAATAATATTGCAATTGATGTTATTAGCACATTGCGCATTCTATCCTCCACGAAGTATATTACATAGCAGCTTCGGACTTGTCGTTGCGCAATTTCTACGGTCGAATGAGGTCCTCATGATCAAGAATTGTTAATACTTTTCCAGACTAGTGCTTCTAAATCGCTTTAACATTCATCTGACTTACCCATCTTGTGAAAATGTACCGTGTCCGGTGTCTGATCTTTGATCATTGATCAGTAATATGTGCAATTTCGCTTCTTCAATAGTCTAATAGTGCACGATGTCTGTTAGTCCCATTTCTAACCTAATTTGTGATAAGTCAAATCTATTTCATTGTTACCAGGGTTGAGAATTCATTCCAGTCACCGTGCGAATTATATAATTTATAATACCATTGCTTTTCTGATACGCTTCTGGATTTCGTCAAGAGTGAGGATAATTATTAAGCACTAAGCGAGGATGACCACTTTTTGTCGGGCGGGCGACTATTGATCTCACAGGCGACACAGTTCAACTTTCTAACATTTCCTTTCTAATAAGTCCATATTTATATTATGGACATAGAATTAATTAGCGGAGAAATATCATTAATACTTTTAACATTGCACTATTAAATTGATTGCTTGTACCCCTTGCCCACTGCAAACCACATTCTTGTTCTTTGACTGCATTCTGATCTCTAAATGAGCTCAATTTAGCTGTTGTTTCTTAAAACTTACAGGAAAGGTGTGCTTTTACATTAATTACCATGTTCTTCCTCCATGTGGCCCTCTATTCTCAGTAGCTCGACATATTTGTAAAAGCCTTGACATTTTGCCCACATTCTTTTGATATCTCCAATTGCAGCTTAACGAATTACCCGAAATTCTAGCAACCAACCCCACCAATTCTAAATTCTCTTTCTCAAGTTTTTCTCTTACACATACTCATAACCGAGCTACCATATCAGATCTGACAATGTTAATGATAAATAACCGCTCGCGCTGTAGTCCTGGTCTATGAAATGATACACTTCGTCACTATTTTACAAAGATTTAAGATGTTCATGTTCAAATTTCCATTGCTCGAAGCATAATCTCGTCTGTACAATATCCGGCTTCAAAAGTATGACTTCATCCGAGCGGCGGTGATCTCATCTAATTATCATAGGACTAACGTCACAAAGCTGATAGTAAAATACCTCGTGACTTTATCTTCTTATCAGTAAACTTTGTCTGTTCTTTGTTGGTCAACAGCTGACAAACAAACGATATCCGAAACTAACATGATAACTACATGAAGAATTTTAAAGGTCTTTAATTTCCGCTAATTTAATTAATCAGTTTTCCTTTCACTTAACAGTTGCGATGATGAATAGTTCTTTCCCATGACAATCCTGTTGTGTTTGATGACTTAAGCATGATTTAATTGCTCGATACGCAATTAATTTAATTATTTATTAACTTTCAAGAGCTCTTCCTACCTTAACATAGCTACAGCTACACTAATATTAATTAATGTCGCTTATTTTACGTAAGATTGCAATCTGTGTTACATCTTAAATAAAGTTACTTAGTGTTGGGTCCTTCACTAGATAATTAAGCAGACTCTCTCATAGTTTCCCATGTGGTCAATCATTGGTAATGTGTCTCCACCATGGCGAGCCGCGCACACATGTAACTAACACGTGTAACCTACACGCTTTTCACACTGCAGTGTTCATTTATCGGGGGGGGGGGGGGGGGGTGTCACGTCCGTCTATGTCCGCTTGTCTCATAGAATCCAAAAAGGACAGGACATAGGCGGACATAGGCAGACATAGGCGGACATATGGACACCTAAATTGCTTAATAAAATGTTCAATTTTTGCTGTTATAGGGGGATCATGTTTTTTGTCCGTTCGGTACCCTATATTTTCAAAACGGACAAAAAATAGAACGGACAAAAATGGAAATAACATTTAGATGCTTCCTCCTCCTACTTTTCCTCCTCCTCCCCCTGGGTCTTCCTGATCTTCCTCAGTCCTCTTCCTCCTCCCCTCCTCAGTCCTCCTCCTACTCCTCCTCCTCGTCCTCAGTCCTCCTCATCAGTCGTCCTCCTCCCCAGTCCTCCTCCTCCCCCTGGGTCTTCCTGATCTTCCTCAGTCCTCTTCCTCCTCCCCTCCTCAGTCCTCCTACTCCTCCTCCTCGTCCTCAGTCCTCCTCATCAGTCCTCCTCCTCCCCAGTCCTCCTCCTCCTCCTGAGTCCTCCTCCTGGGTCCTCCTCCTGGGTCCTCCTCCTCTTCATCCTTCTCCTCTTCCTCCTCAGTCCTCAGTCCTCCTTAGTCCTCCTCCTCATCCTTCTCCTCAGTCCTCCATCCTCCTCCTATTCAGTCCTCCTCCTTCTCAGTCCTCCTCAGTCCTCCTCCTCCTCCTCCTCTTCCCTCTCAGTCATCCTCCTCAGCCATCCTCCTCAGTCCTCCTCCTCAGTCCTCCTCCTCCTGGGTCCTCCTCCTCCTCTTCATTCTCCTCCTCTTCCTCCTCGGTCCTCAGTCCTCCTCCTCCTGGGTCCTCCTCCTCATCCTTCTCATCAGTCCTCCTCCTCCCCAGTCCTCTCCCAGTCCCCCTCCTTCTCCTCCTCCTATTCAGTCCTCCTCCTCAGTTCTCCTCAGTCCTCCTTCTCATTTCTCCTAAGTCCTCCTCCTGAGTCCTCCTCCTCTTCCTTCTGAGTCCTCCTCCTGAGTCCTCCTCCCTCTCAGTCATCCTCCTCAGTCATCCTCCTCAGCCATCCTCCTCAGCCATCCTCCCCAGCCATCCTCCTCAGCCATCCTTCTCAGTACTCCTCAGTCCTCCTCCTCAGTCCTCCTCAGTCCTCCTCCTCCTCCTGGGTCCTCCTGGGTCCTCCTCCTCCTGGGTCCTCCTGGGTCTTCCTGATCCTCCCCAGTCCTCTTCCTCCTCCCCTCCTCAGTCCTCCTCCTACTCTTCCTCCTCGTCCTCAGTCCTCCTCATCAGTCCTCAACAGTTCTCCTCCTCCCCGGTCCTCCTCCTCCTCCTGGGGCCTTTTCCTGGGTCCTCCTCCTGGGTCCTCCTCCTCCTGGGTCCTCCTTCTCCTCCTCAGTCCTTCTCCTCCTCCTCATCAGTCCTCTTCCTCCTCCTCCTCCCTCTCAGTCATCCTCCTCAGCCATCCTCCTCAGCCATCCTCCTCAGTCCTCCTCCTTCTCAGTCCTCCTCAGTCCTCCCCCTGAGTCCTCCTCCTCCTCAGTCATCCTCCTCAGTTCTCCTCCTCCTCCTCCTCCTCCTCCTCCTAGGTCCTCCTTCTGGGTCCTCCTCCTCCTCCTCCTCCTCCTCCTCCTCAGCCATCCTCCTCAGTTCTCCTCCTCCTCCTCCTAGGTCCTCCTTCTGGGTCCTCCTCCTCCTCCTCCTCCTCCTGGGTCTTCCTGATCCTTCTCCTCCCTCTCAGTCATCCTCCTCAGTCATCCTCCTCAGTCATCCTCCTCAGCCATCCTCCTCAGCCATCCTTCTCAGCCATCCTCCTCAGTACTCTTCAGTACTCTTCAGTCCTCAAAATGTTTGTCCGCTAATGTCCACCAATGTCCGCTAATGTCCATCCATGTCCGTCCGGGTCCGCCAATGTCCGTCCGAGTCCGCCAATGTCTGTCCGAGTCCGCCAATGTCCGTCCGAGTCCGCCAATGTCCGTCCGTGTCCGCCAATGTCCCAAAAAACACGTCCGTTGTCTCATAGAATCCAAAAAGGACAGGACATAGGCGGACATAGACGGACATGACACCCCCCCCCCCCCCCCCCCCCCCTTTATCGCAACATCATTAATAGCACTCTAACTGATAGATAAGGGGCGTTGGCGCTGAAAACTATGATACACTGCAATGAAATACCAAAGGACTTTCTGGCCTAGCATTGAACATTGACGGATAGTAAATTGCAATGTACAGGGCGTTTTCACTCTTCACATTTTGAAAGTAACGCTATGTACACTTATGATCCAGCCATCTACTCTAGCATGCACTGGGACTGGCGGCCCTTTGACATCATACCTGGGGAAACCTTGCACATGCAGAATCGTGAGAACTCATAGCGAACCCAGCGCGTTCGGTCACATCGCATTTTTTCTCTTCTTAAATTGAAATGATGGGAATACTGGCATGTAAATCCGTTCTTTAACGCCCTTTGTTTACAGATTGAACTATGTTTTTCAAATGCACTCTTTCCACAATTGGTTATCTGTATTTTTTCTTTTCACAGTTAATTTTATGTAACCATGCAATGCAATTTTTTAATTGCTAAACTAATTACATGTATGGAACGTAAAGTCTTAATTGAAACTAACCCCAACAATCTCAGTAGTAGCAAGTAGCAGCCATGCCACCCAAGTCAGGACGTAACAAGGATAAGCCCCATCTTAACATCGTTGTTATTGGTCATGTAGATTCTGGTAAATCTACCACCACCGGTCACTTGATCTTCAAGTGCGGAGGTGTTGACGACAGAACTATCGAAAAGTTCAAGAAGGAGGCTGCCGAGGTAATGATCTTAAACATGATTTTTAACTTAATTTCTCCTTTCATTCCGTTTATGAAAGACTTATTAATGAAGGAAACATAAATTGTAGAATTTATTCTACATATCTTTACTTTTCCAAACCCAGCTGGCACTTATGCGTATCATTTTGACTCATTTCACTTTTTACACCACCATTCACTCTGAATTCACCGGCAACATTCTCCAGGGTTGCCACGCCCCAGAGGTAGGCAGAGCATCTCGATGCTATCCTCTCGTGGGCTAACTTGGCCCAACCTCTTAAAAAAATTAAAATTAAAAAAATATCTTAACATAACCTCATCCTTCGGTTACATCATCCGAAATGAATTTCATTTCTTAATGTACACTCTCATTTATTGACAGCTCAGTTTATTGACAACTAGATTGTTCAACTCAAATATTTCAAACTTTCAATTCACTCACGTTCATAATGTACTCAAAAAGTTCGTTCTCTACTCAGCTCAGTTATTTACCAGCTACCCGGTTCTTCAGCTGCTAGATCTGTCTATTTGCCACTCGGGATATTCATTTACATCTCTGTAATTCATTTTTTGAATCAATTCTTAGTTTCTTATCCATACTCTCCCTCCCGTGTGAGTTCACAGTCACGTCATCGAATGCATTGCAATCAGAACAACATAATAGTGAACTGTGAATGAAAGCTCAATCTGAATAAATGGCAAAAACTAAATAAGATGAGTCATTTCAGCGAACTACTTCTTTTTTGGGACCACACGTTGATTCGTTACCCAGTTGATAGAAGACACAATACACGATCAATAGACCTATGACTTGTAAATAATTGATAGTTGTAACTTAAATGATATCCGTGGCACTGCATAGCTGACGTAAGATTCTCAAAATCTTGAAGAGGGCAGTAAAATACGCGCGTGCGTCTGCAATCACCAGGGGAGGCCTTCATTGTCAACATTTGTAGTGGCAAACTAAGCGCGCGCACGACGTCTTCTGAAAATGTACAAGATAGTAATGATGGGCTTTTGCGATTGTCAACAGTGACCATGCTTTTATACAAGATCAGATTTAGAGGCCGTAAGTTGATGTGGAATTTCACCCTTTAACATACACATCCTGAACACCTTACAGCTGGACTACGATTTCAACTATGATTTTCTTAACACATGATTCTTTTCAGATGGGTAAAGGATCCTTCTGTTATGCTTGGGTTCTGGACAAGCTGAAGTCCGAGCGTGAAAGGGGTATCACAATCGACATCGCTCTTATGCAGTTCGAGACTGACAAGTTCGATGTTACCATCATTGATGCTCCCGGACACAGAGATTTCATCAAGAACATGATTACTGGCACATCGCAGGTACGCTAAAAATTAACCATCTTTTCTATTGTTCTTGGAGAAAGCTTACAGCAATGACTGAATGAAATATGTACAATTGTAGTGTAGACCATCTGTCAGCCCCTGCTGCTAATTTCAGTCAAGTTAACTTTTTATTCATCAGGCCGATGCTGCTGTTCTGATTGTCGCCGCTGGTACTGGTGAATTCGAAGCTGGATACGCCAAGACTGGACAAACCAGAGAGCACCTGCTGCTTGCCTTCACTCTGGGAGTAAAGGAGGTTATAATTGCTGTTAACAAAATGGACACCACCTCTCCCCCATACAATGAGGGTCGATTCAAGGAAATCCAGGGTGAGGTCAGCAACTACTTGAAGAAAATCGGATACCAGGTCCCTAGGATTCCATTCATCCCCATCTCAGGATTCCACGGAGACAACATGGTCGCCCCCATCAAAGATGAGCCCAACAACATGAAATGGTTCAAGGGATCTACCGTCAAGATCGGACCCAGAGGAAAGGAAAAGGATATTACCCTCAGGTGGCTGACTGAGGCCCTCGACAACGTAGCCCCACCATCTCGACCCACCGACAAGGCTCTGAGACTGCCCCTTCAGGATGTCTACAAGATTGGAGGTATTGGAACAGTCCCTGTCGGCCGAGTGGAAACTGGTATCATCAAGCCCGGTATGATCGTGTGCTTCGGACCTACTGGTCTGACCACTGAGGTAAAATCTGTGGAGATGCATCACGAAGCTTTGCCTGAGGCAGAACCCGGTGACAATGTTGGATTCAACATCAAGAACGTCGCTGTCAAAGAAATCAAGAGAGGATTCGTCGCATCTAACTCCAAGGACGATCCCTGCAAAGAGGCCGTCGACTTCGAAGCCCAGGTTATCATCATGAACCATCCTGGAAAGATCAGCGCCGGTTACACACCCGTCCTCGATTGTCACACTTCTCACATCGCCTGCAAGTTCACAGAGATCAAACAGAAGATCGACAAGCGTACTGGCAAGATGCTCGAAGAGAACCCCAAGGAGATCAAAACTGGTGATGCTTCCCTTTGCATCCTGAAGCCAACCAAACCCATGGTTGTGGAGACCTTCAAACAGTACGCTCCTCTCGGACGATTCGCTGTCAGAGACATGAAACAGACCGTCGCTGTAGGAGTTATTAAGTCCGTCTGCAAGGGCGAAAGCACTGGCAAATCAACCAAATCAGCAGTTAAGGCAGCAAAAGCTAAATAGAGTCTGAAACAATCGATGTTTTTAAAATCTAAGCTTGGTTAATATTTAACTGCCTTGAATTGTTGAAAAATTGTTTTATTTTTTACCCCACCAATGAAATGTTTTATTTGACTAAACCGATATTTGTATCTCACTTGGTTATTAACCTTACCTGAATTGAAACTGACAATAAATCTAGCGAAACCTGAAATTACTGCACTGTATTCTTGTAGGAAGGCCTTGTGTGCATTTTTTACTCTAGTCGTAAGACCTAGATTTACTTAATAAACGGTTGACCGTACGAACCATCTAGAATCTTCAAGGTATAAAGATACTCTGACTGATTACCCCGGGTGAAATCTCTAAAACGATATCTATGGAAATCGGGAACTTTTGATTTCATATGATATTATGAAGGTTCTCTCACTTGCGCAGCTTTTTACAGTTAAATCTAAATAAATGAGCTCAACCTGCAACTAAGTCCCGGCTCGTATAGGAATTTTCTCTATTTCCTACCATTTTTAAGGACTCTTTCCTCAAGAAAGTTTTAAATTCCTGTGGCTCGCGAGTTTCCTACTTCCGTGTTGTCTGCTCAGTGCTCACTGATGGCGCCTAGCAAGTAGCATTGCTGGCAGTATCAGATAGCCCGACCCCTGTTCGTGAACAGTTATCGGTTACCAGATATATGACCGCATATCAATCATGAAATGTTCTGTTCTGAAATTGTATGTCTTCAATCTTGGATGCAATTAGTTAAGACTAGCATAATTTGCCACTAATTTTAGCATAGTAAATTGCTGGATCAAACTGTTGATTACGATTCAAATGTCAAACATGGTATATCATACAGTCGTTCATTTTTGGTAGAGTATTATCAGTTGCCATCATCATTCGTCAACAACAACAACTATTTCAATTCCTGACATGGTACTCTTCTGTACTAGACGAAATTTATGGACCCACGGCCTCCCTAGAGAATACTCAGAGACTTCCTATTCCAGAAAAACCTCTTAAAGAGCTCCATGTCCTGTCCTAGACGTAACATATATATGTCCTCTACAGAATTTCACTCTCAAGACCTTTTTACAACTGCTGTTCTGTTTGAGTATGAAAGGACTAGCTGGCATTACGATATATATCACAGATGCCAGGACTGTCAGAAGACGCGGTCTGTGTACTGTTATTATGCAGTCATACTCATATGATCTGGTAAACAGGGGGGGGGGGGGGGGGCCAATGGCATAAATGGAGAAAATGGAGAATTACTCATAGGTTTTTCCATTTTCTCCATAGAAATAGTCTCCATTTTATGCCATTTTATGCCATTTTATGCCATTGAAAACCTGAAAAATTTAGAATTTCGAGAAAAATTATTTAAAAAAAATATATTTTCGGCCAATAATGAACAGGGTATCACGAAACATGGAGAAAAGTGGTTTTCAGAAAAACTTTGAAAAATGTTGACTTAGAAAATTTTCGGTCCGAGTCATTTTCGAATTTCGATACGTGTACCTCCCGTATCGAGAGCTCCCGATTCCGAGCTCTTGTTGCAAAGGGGAGGCCTGCCTTCCGAGATCGCATTATCTCGAGTCCAAAATTGTGTATCGAGGGGAAGGTGTGGACTTCGAAAAACCGAAAAAACATTTTCGGCAAATAATGAACAGGGTAGCATGAAACGTGGAGAAAAGTGTTTTTCAGAAAAACTTTGAAAAATGTTGACCGACAAAATATTTTCGGCTAATAATGAACAAGGTAGCATGAAACGTGGAGAAAAGTGTTTTTCAGAAAAACTTTGAAAAATTTTGACTTAGAAATTTACCCCTCGGTACACAATTTTGGACTCGAGGCTTCTCCCTGGTAATGCGTTCTCGGAAGGTAGACCTACCCTTTGCAACACGAGCTCGGAATCGGGAGCTCTCGATACGAGAGGTATGTATCGAGAATGACTCGGGCCGGAAATTTTCTAAGTCAAAATTTTTCAAAGTTTTTCTAAAAACCACTTTTCTCCACGTTTCATGCTACCCTCTCCATTATTAGCCGAAAATATTTTTTTGGTTTTTCGGTTTATCGAAGTCTGCACCTACCCCTCGATACACAAATTTGGACTCGAGGCTTCCCCTGGTAATGCGATCTCGGAAGGCAGGCCTCCCCTTTGCAGTGCGAGCTTGTTTCGACTTTCGAGGATGTAGGTCTCACTTCTCAGTGCCTATTACTCTCCCCTATTACTCACTCCTGCTGTAGCCTGTAGAAATAACTTTACACTAGGCTTGAGTAATTATGAGTTTGCCTGAAGTGTGCCTCTACTAACCTAGTATAAGCATCTAGTAGCCTACTATGAGCTTCCATAAGCTTGTTACGCCCCTAGTAAGCGTAAATAAACATGTTAGGATGTCCAATTTAGGTGTTAAATGGTGTTAAAGATGAAATTTCGGAGACAAAATTCATGGCATAAAATGGAGAAAATGGAGAATTACTCATGGGTTTTTCCATTTTCTCCATAGAAAAAGTCTCCATTTTATGCCATTTTATGCCATTTTATGCCATTGGCCCCCCCCCCGGTAAACATCATGTCATAAGTTCAAAGTTGAACTTCATTTCATGACCCTCCCTATAACTAAGTATAACTAATACTATATACGGTCGAGGCTTCTCTGCGATACCGATCTCTGAAGACTGGCCTCTCCTTCGCAATGCAACCCTACCCTACCCTCCCCTACCCGGGGAGTCTGGCTTCAGAGGTACGTATGCACTTTGCAGGGCTCTAATACTAATTCGCTCGCCCGAAAATTTCACGTGACTTTGGTTTTTATGGTTTTACATAAACCCTAATCCCAACCCTAACCATAACCCCAAAGCTATCCATATCCCTTACCACAACTCTAACCCGAGCCCTAAACAATCGAATTCATGTTTTACTAGCCTGTAACGTGACCAAAACGGTTTTTTGCCCATAACTCTCCAGGGAAGCATTTTTACTCTACGTCATGTAGTGGGCAGAGTTCTACAGGCACAGTACCGAAGTTCTACAAGACATCAAACATTGCTCCACTTCACAAGAAAGGCAGCCGTGCTATTGCGGGAAACTACAAACCTGTGTCGTTAACTTCTCATGTCATTAAGATCTATGACATATGAGCGAGTTCTACGAAAACAGATGGTTGCCCACCTCGAAGAAAAAAAACTTCTCAATAGCAAACAGCATGGCTTCCGATCGGGGAAAAGTTGTCTCACTCAGCTGCTTCATCATTTTGATGACATCATCGAGGCGTTATCAAATGGTGACGACATGGACACTATATACTTGGATTATGCCAAGGCTTTTGAATTTGATATAGTAGATCATCAACTTCTTATCAAAAAACTGCAGTTATATGGTTTTCATCCCAAAATCATATGTCATCTTGCCAACAAACGTAATCCTCTCTATGAACTTCCTTTTGTCCATGAACAGTTCCAATACAGAACATCAACTGGTACTATACTCACTCCTGTGGATCAGCTCCGTGATCTCGGTATAACATTGATATATGTTACGTGGCATGCAACGTATGTCAAGTATAACAGTATCCAGTGATACGTCCTGGACATCACACATACGATCTTGATTGACGATGTCAATCCGTCGAGATCGTTGCTCTGCGAAGCAAGAATGCTAGTTCGCGCGGCGCGTCGAAGCGGCGAAGTCCTCCAAATACGATCTAGTTGTGATAAAGCGAGGAAGATGGCAGCATGGGTATTCAGTGTCTTCCACTCTCGCATTACTGCCTGGTGTTATGTTAACACTTAACACTATACAAGTCACTAGTCCGTACTCCGTAGCCACTTTAGAGTATTGCTGTCTTCTGTGGAATCCGGCGAAAGTGTATGACATTCAGGAGCTTGAAAGTGTACAAAGAACTTTCACTTCAAAGATCCATGGTTTACAGCATCTCCATTATTGGGATCGCCTAAAAACCCTGTCCCTCATGTCACTTCAGAGGCACAGAGAACGTTACATTGTCATGCACATGTGGAAAATCCTACATGGTTTCACATCCAACGACCTTGAAGTACAGTTCACAGTAAATCCACGATTGGGTACCCTTGCTAAGGTTCCAGCTGTCCGTACAAAAAGCTCAGCTGCTCACCAGACTCTATAAGAAACATCATTTGGTGTAATGGGTCCCAGACTCTGGAACTGTATACCTTCGCATATACTACGTGCAGTCTCCAAACATGATGGCTTCAAGCATCATATGATGGCTGCTTTCCTTGCCGGATAAACCGCCAATCCGGGGCTTCACATCACCGAACTCCAATTCTATAGTGGACTGTCGTAACGATCGAGAGGCATCTGCTCTCTGGGGTGGTCAGCAACTCTGATGGCCTGTCGAGTTTCGACGAAGCAGATCAAAGGTAAGGTAAGGGTGTGATTCGGAATCAGCGTCCAAAAATACACCGATTTAGACCTATTAATTTCATAGCCAAAGGGCCTCTTTACAATAATTTTCTTAAAATTTGGGCGAGCGATTTAGTAGGAGCGACTTTGCAGTATGGGGCCAATTACGCCCGGATTTTCATTGTCATACGTTGTATGACCCGCCGCGCACGAAGTGCGCGGCTCCCCCTGTATCGTCAGGACCATAGTGAAACGACCGTGGGGGTCGCAACGTGATACAAGATTTTCAAACCCAAAACCATTCAATTTTCAAAACCTCTCCAGGATTCTCCAATAACTTTTAGTTTTAATAATACAAATGAAATACTTGAATTCGTTGGTAAAATGCAGGCATGAGGTAGTATATCAATTATCATAATTCGTAATCATATATCAAATATATCTGATGCACGTGTTTTTTTTTAATTTTAATTAATACATAGTATTGAATTTTCAAATTTTTGCTCTATCTTTCTCTGAATTGTCAGAAATCTCCCCCTACCCGAATATGGAATAAGTCCAAAATTCTAAAACCAACCAAAGAAGTCCTAAGCTTAAGCAAATATTAGATGCAGGCCCCAGATATACGATCAATTCCTAAATTTAATCACTACCAGTACCAGTGGCAGTACCACAGCGAAATTTGAATTTCAAAATTGTCGAATCGATATTTAATTTAATTGGTCTCTACAAACTTCGTCTGATCGTCCCATTACTGAGGTTAGATATCTCCCAACAGAACTTTTTGTACACGTCTACGAAAATTTGGAATGATCTCATCCCCTATGTATTCGAAATATGTGATGCTAATGAAGATGGGATAATAATAATAAGTATATTGACGTAGTGGATGGTTGAGGGGGTTTCAAGCACAGGTCACTCTCAAATCCTAAAGATAAGCAGTGGCCTTCGGCACTTGAAACCTCTTCAAACCTCCCCTGATTTATTTATTATTGATATTGTTTGATTGTGCCGTAAAAATAAATATTTGTTTTATTAAATATTTGTTTTATTATATATACTCCCTCTATGTTGTATGTGAGAGAAGCGAGCAAGATCGGACTAGCAAGCTACATTGGTAAAGGCCTTGGCAATCGACCATTTACCTAGCTTGTCTATTGTTCGCTACTCTCGCCAATGTCCAATGCGAAAAGAGTAATATACTGGATAATAAGTTTGTAGTGGCATACTTTTGGGAAAATGTGAACGAATTTTGACTTGGACGGACTATATAATAATACAATAAACGGATAGACTTGATTTAAACGTACATTAAAATGGACGCTAGTGGCTAGGGCCTCATCCAGTGCCCATTGTCCAATTAATGTCTGTTCAAATATTACGTCCAGTAAGGTAACCGTAATATAAATATTATTTTTATGATATCGAAATGAATTTTCTTAGTATAGAGCTTTATTTACTTTTCATTTAAAGTGAAACAAATTCTTTATATTATGTAGCTAGGGTGCAGACTAACTAAACGCTTTCATCCCATTACATACTGCGTAGTACTCAATGAAGTGTTGAAATTAGTTTTAAAAAGTTTATGTTTTGGATATCATACTGTTTCTATATATTCTAATTCAAGTTAACATAACAATGATTATCCACTTAGATGACTAAAAGGACACAAGCAACAACTAACATGATTGCTAACAACATTAATGTTAACATGGCTCAGCTTCAAGATACCAACGAGAAGCGACAGTTGCTATATTTACTCCTAAAAGACTCTGGCAGGGAACCTATGATCACTTATTTACAGCAAATGGCTGAGGAGCGATCCCATACAGAGGCAGAGTCTTCTATGCTGAACAAACTTTATCGAAAACCTCAGCGAGAAGATCCCACGAACTATGTAGCTCGAAAGTTTTCTGCAGGAGCACACCAATCCAACTTGCACTTGTCAAGTATAGAATCTGTCCAGAATCCGGTGGATCCTATAAAGGAGGCAACTGTCGTGACAAGGATAGCAGCTTGGTTTCACGGTGATGATCCAGAAGGAAATCATGTGTGGCTAGGTGAGAATGTTGATGAAGTTTCAATAACTTTCATCTACAATCTAAAAAGTAATGTTGATGTTTAATAATATGAAATTTATTGATTCAATTTTATAATTCAATTATAATTCAGATGAGGAGAACGATGGTAAGGAGAAGAATACGAATCAGAAGGATGATCAAGGGGAGGAAGATGACCAGGTAAAATCTATGAAACCTATTTTACAACTCTTGTTTTTGTTAGTTCAGTCCTGGTAACGAAATGTCCCTCTGGAGCCTAATATCGTAGGGAGTGGAAGTTTAGTGTCAGTATAAGTGAAATCCATCGTAATCTTGTGTGTAATACAATCTTGTGCATGTGTATTTGGTATTGTGTAGTTCTAGAAAGAAACACGTGAGGCTTTGTACAATAAAGCAAAATGACTAATAAGGTCAGTTACCATAGTCCATATCTCCGAATTAGAGCTCATGTCATTATTTATTTACTAGATTCTTGTATAGCTAAAACAATTTTCGTTATAAATCTAACAATGATATCCAAGTGTGCAGGAGTGCAAACTGTGGTTGTAGATAAGAAAGTGCTGGAGGAGTTGGAGAAGGAAGTTCAAAAGAAGAATGCTACTAGCTGGATCTCTGAGAGACTACTTAAATGTTTTAGAGGAACGATATAATAGACTGCATGTGTCACCAATTTTTGATTTATAACTTTATTCTTTATACGAAAATCAAAAATTGGATTTGGGATTTTTCAAACCATTTGTTTTTAAACATAGTTAATATAAGGAATACAATCTTAATATTGAGAGGGAGTATTTTTAGTTCTGATTAAGTATTTCAAATACATTTAGTTTTATTTGTTAGCAATTAATGAGGGGGGGGGGGGGGGGGGGGGGGGGGGGGGGGGGGGGGGGGGGGGGATGGGGTTAAGTGATTACATAATATGTGAACAGGTAAAAACCCTAGAGGGGTCACGCGGGGTCTTATTTGGTGCAGGAGTGGAGCTTCCCCTCCTTTTTGACTTGTTGCTTCTTAAACTTAAACTTCTTCAATGTAAGAAATTTTGTGTCTACAGCATGTGATCGTGATGAATATATATACCTCAAAAGACACCTGTGGGCTGTGTCACTATCACTGGACATTAGTGCCACTTGCCAGCCTATTCTAATATCCAAACCTTTAGAGAAGCTGCTGCTAGCTAGATGATTCATACATGCGCTGCGCGCGCATATAATTTGACTGTCCGCGCAAGATCATAAACCTTTTGACGTATCGATGACTTCGCCGGTTCCTGAAAGCACTTAAATTGACTGGACAGCTCGTGGCCAACTTAACGCCAGGGGAATCACTCAGTTCCTACGTATGTTATGACACTATCTGACTTCTGAGAAAGTACATTTTTTAATTTTCTGTAGCAGGAACATCTGTCACCTCGTATTTGGACGATTCCCAATTGTATTTCACTTCAGTGTGTTGTTGAGTAGACATGAGCCGATTAAAAGTTACAGAACTTACAGTTAAATTTCAAAAACTCAACCTTAACCTCAAATACATGGTTCATATTACTGTGCTTAACTATGCACAAACAGAGAATTCAAAAATAGACCGCTCGAAAAAAAGGCTTATTTTAAAATTAGATTATTTTAATTTTTCTGAGGCCTAAATATCATGATAAAAACATACAGCTAAGCAGAACCTTCTGAAATAAAAGATGTTCCCAGTAGAAATGGAAAAAACTATATCAAATCTTATAAATAACTGGTGTAGGTCAACTGTTTCTTTAAAATTCTCTCAACTTGTAGAGGTATACCAAATGAGGCAATCTCCTGTATCTATATTTCTTGAACTGGAATAGTTGGAATATTTAGGCTATCTCCTATATCTATATTTCTTGAACTGGAACCATAGTTGGAATATTCCCTGACTGTACTGCGATTTAAAGCTGTATCTGTTGGAATACTCCCACTCTTTGTTGAGGACTTTAAATGCTATTGCTTCGTAGGGTGGTCCGGCAGTGATCCTGTCAGATTATTTATAATATTATTCACATAATTGTTTACAATTTAAAGCATCTACTTTTTGCAACTGTTATATAACGTTGTATTGAACGAAAATGCTTTGAAAAAAGAAAGTTTTGTCGAATGTACATTCTTTCAACAAGAGGCTGTATTTTAATACAAAAAAACTTAACATATTTGAAGTATGAACAATGTGTCAGGTGATCAGATTTGTGTGACAGATAAACTCACTTTAAGATACAGAATTCTTTTTCATCCTTACAGACTGTTAGCTTGTATTCCGGTGTTAGATTTGGGTCAATCAAGTCCTGTGGAAATGATGCTAGATACAGGACCAATAGATCAGATTTCAGTTTATTACCATACAGTTTGGTGATAGAAACACCGAGGAATAATAATAACGTTGGGTGAAAAAGAGTTGAAGTTTGATGTTTAAATAAGTATTCAAGTACCTGATAGAAAATGTTGAACTTGTAACCCTGAACTATTTTAGGAGGTGGATTATCTTGGTCGTAGTGAGTCTGATTGTACTTGTTCCATTCGTATCCCTGAAAAACAAAGAATTAATCTCATAATTCCGACTTGTTTTATACAACTATCAGTGGTTTAGATGATGAGCTTTATAGTTTGTAGTTTTGGAGAAGTGACTAGTTTTGGAGAGGTGACATGGCCCCCCCCGGCCCCCCTGACTTACTGGCCCCCCCCCGACTTACAGTGTGCACTCTGTTGTAGAACCTAGGTTTCCGAGGCTTGTATTTGTCAGCCCAGGAGTAGTTTTGTTTGCCGATGTCAATGTCCGCGTTAAAGAGTTCCTCATCCTCAGTAGCAGGCCCCATTAGGGCCTGGGCTTGTTCCTCTAGATCTACTCCCCGGTTACTGTCCGTCTTGCTATTGGTTGTCTGAAGGAAGGGTACTGTGGTTACTACTGTGGTTACTACTGTGGTTACTACTGTGGTTACTATTGTGGTTACTACTGTGGTTACTATTGTGGTTACTACTGTGGTTACTTCTGTAGTTACTACTGTGGTTACTACTGTGGTTACTACTGTGGTTACTACTGTGGTTACTACTGTGGTTACTATTGTGATTACTACTGTGGTTACTATTGTGGTTACTACTGTGGTTACTACTGTGGTTACTACTGTGGTTACTACTGTGGCTACTACTGTGGTTACTTCTGTAGTTAATACTGTGGTTACTACTGTGGTTACTACTGTGGTTACTACTGTGGTTACTATTGTGGTTACTACTGTGGTTACTATCGTGGTTACTACTGTGGTTACTATTGTGGTTATTACTGTGGTTACTACTGTGGTTACTACTGTGGTTACTACTGTGGTTCCTGACATATAAAAGCGATCTAGTGATAAACTATCATAGTACTAAGTAAAACACTAACTGATATTCCCCTGGAAAGATTAACTTCCACTCGTAGCTCCTTTATTTCTCGTTGAATCTTCTGGTCAGTATATACTAAGGCATCTGCGCAATTGTTAACATAAGCGGATAGAATTTGTTACTTAAATAAAGCTTTGTAATAACCTAATTTATTAAAAGTTGGAACAAAATCGGCTGTTTGATTTGACGGACTGCCATTGATAAAGCTTGATAAAATTAAAATTGTTTAACTTAAACTTGAGCTTTACAGCTCGTCTATCTTGTGACTTTTAAATAACTAATTTATTTTCTTTAAAACTCACCCATATCAATTGTATCAATTCTAATGGGAGTGTAGCACAAATCTTCATACTCCTGCATACACAGCTCATCTTTATTGTCTTTCTTCACGATCTTCATCGTCTGAGCTTCTTCTTTCTTCCTTTTCTTCTTTTTTGTTACCTTTTCTTCTTTTTCTTCCTCATCAATCAATGGTTTTGCGGCTGGTTTGACGAATTCTTCGACTTCTTCCACTTTAGTTGCTGGTTCAGTTTCAGGTTGGTCGATGGGGAACAGTTGGTCTGAAGATTTGCCGTCCTGATGAAATAAACAGCGATAAGAGAACTAGTTGTGTACATGGATAACACGACACATGTATACTACAATATCTACATCGTACATAACATGTATACTATAATAAATAAGTGTACTATAATATCTACATCCTACATATGTATACTATCTAGTATCTAATAACAGTGTAGCCCGACACAAAGTGAACCATTTCAACACACTATGGAGCAGTACTTCATTCTTAAAATCTGCTCCAAACGACAGAAAGCGAGTGTTTCGAAATAAAATAACTTTGAGCGTATCCAGGAGAGAAATTGTGAAATAATTTACGGAAGCATCTTTAGATTTTGTAGCGAATTCTCTTCTCTTTGTGATTTCCTCGTGTTTTTCACGTAAACGAGCCTTGGAAATCTCCACAAATGCCTAAATATATCAACTGTTATTATCTCACCTGACATGATATCATATAATACAAAGTATAAGTAAATCGTTAATTAATAAGATGGTATTTTCAGTAATTTTTAGAACAATATTCTAGCTGTTATTTACGATGCAATGCTGTTTTTTAGTATGTATTATAATTATACTATAATACATACATTAATTAGTACACATTATAATTACATTTTAATTAATATCTAACACCAACCTGCTGTGATACGTTCTCCCAATAAGACACATCAATAGGACCACCCTTCTCCAACTTAGTCCGGATTCCCTTGTACATTTCAGCTAGCTGGAAGCTGGTCTTACTGGTGAATATCTTGGTTACATCTACCCCTACTGCTGTGTTTATTGAGCTCCTGTTCTTCTCAATCTGGTGGGCAAGGGTACTGTGGTTACTATTGTGGTTACTAGTGTGGTTACTAGTGTGGTTACTACTGTGGTTACTATTATGGTAGTAACCACAGTAGTGGTCTTACTGGTGAATATCTTGGTTACATCTACCCCTACTGCTGTGTTTATTGAACTCCTGTTCTTCTCAATCTGGTGGACAAGGGTACTGTGGTTACTATTGTGGTTACTACTGTGGTTACTATTGTGGTTATAACTGTGGTTACTACTGTGGTTACCACTGTGGTTACCACTGTGATTACTACTGTGGTTACTACTGTGGTTACTACTGTGGTTACTACTATGGTAGTAACCACAGTAGTGGTTTTACTGGTAAATATCTTGGTTACATCTACCCCTACTGCTGTGTTTATTGAACTCCTGTTCTTCTCAATCTGGTGGGCAAGGGTACTGTGGTTACTATTGTGGTTACTATTGTGGTTACTAGTGTGGTTACTAGTGTGGTTACTACTGTGGTTACCACTGTGGTTACTACTGTGATTACCACTGCACTGTGGTTACTACTGTGATTACTACTGTGGTTACTATTATGGTAGTAACCACAGTAGTGGTTTTACTGGTGAATATCTTGGTTACATCTACCCCTACTGCTGTGTTTATTGAACTCCTGTTCTTCTCAATCTGGTGGGCAAGGGTACTGTGGTTACTACTGTGGTTATAACTGTGGTTACTATTGTGGTTACTAGTGTGGTTACTAGTGTGGTTACTACTGTGGTTACTACTGTGGTTACTGCTGTGGTTACTACTGTGGTTACTACTGTAGTTATTACTGTGGTAGTAACCACAGTAGTGGTTTTACTGGTGAATATCTTGGTTACATCTACCCCTGGTGCAGGGCAATTGTTCATTTTTAAAGACTTCATATTTTAATGGTGAGATTTACAAATTTTTTATTCAAGCTATCACAGAATGCAGACAATTTTCTTAATAATAAAGCTTTTTCAAAGTTTTCAAAGCCTCAATTCACAGAACCCACCCAACTAACCTTTATTTTCTTCTTGTTTTGTTTTATCTGATCCTCACAGACCACTTCGAGTGCCTCCCAGAAGATCTGCTCCGTCTTGGTCTTGTCCAGATCTTTGTACACTTTTATATCCGCTTGTAGGTCTTCCAGATCTTGCAGTGATAGGTTCTGTGGAGAATTACAATATTAATTGTTTATTATAGTGACATGATGAAATGTTGGAGTATTTATATTGTCTTGGACAGCATGAGTTTAGCTATGCCTTTGACCGTATTATATTAGTACTAGTGGGACGCTAACTCAGTCAGACACTGGACAGGGCGATTTGATTGACACGTTCAACTTAACAATTACAGTCGGTCTACTCATACAGGGACGGGATGGTCAAGTTACCAACTTAAGTCACGTGTACCTCGGCACCTGGTTACTTAACTCATTTATACCCTCGTCAATATGTTTTCCTCTTAAGCCCTCAGCTAGACCATTCCCAGACTTTCACAAATTCGTAATCATGAGAAGTTTAGCTCTGTGTCTACTGCTTATTCTCCAGGCTTCTGGAAACAGGACCTCTGTTGATGATATCTTGGATTTAGCTGATGGGGACGATTGTCCCAAAGGTACCTGGTCTGTGGACGGAACACACTTTGAAGGAGGTGACGAATGTGAGCAATGCTACGAGGGTGAGTTCGCCAATATGGAGGGTAGTGTTGCCTGTGACATGTGTCCCGCCGGTACTTACACCCCCGAGATGGGATACTGGGAGTGCTTGAACTGTCCTGCTGGAGAGATCACGATGGAGAGTGGTAACTACGCTTGCTTCCCCTGTGGTAAAGGAAAGCACAGCCCCGTTGAGGGTGGAACCGTCTGTGAGGAATGTCTCCCCGGACACTTCCAAGACGAAGAAGGAGCAGCAGGGTGCAAAGTCTGCTCGGCTGGCCAATACCAGGATGTTGCTGCTTCTACCGACTGTAAACTCTGCCCAGCAGGAACTTCTTCCCCAGCGCAGAGCGGAGCGGTTACTGCTTGTGTTGACTGCCCTGCCGGCAGCTACTCCCCTGTTGATGGCTCTGAGTGCCTCCTCTGTCCCGTCCTGAAGTACGGGGATGCAGCTGGAGCTACCGCCTGTAAGGACTGCCCCTCAAACTCTGATAAAGAAGGAGCTACCGACTGCACCAATACCCTTGCCTGCCCCGAGGGTCAGGTCCCTGTTGATGGAGTTTGTGAAGCTTGTGACGCTGGTTACTTTGCCTTACTTGGCGCTGATTCTTGCACCAAATGCTCCAAGGGCTACTACAGCAACATTTCAGGAGCTGCTAGCTGTAGCATCTGCCCCGTGAAGACCTATGGTGCTGAAGAGGGCATGACAGCATGTCTGCCATGTGACGGCAGGGACAAAAGGATTTCGCGGTTATTTTGGCCAAAAATCGCGGCACCGCGACAAGCCAAACTAGGCTAATTCGCGGCTAATTCGCGGCGGGAATATCGAAAATCGCGGCATATTCGCGGCGAAAAATCGAAAAATCGCGGCGAATTCGCGGCAAAAAATAATGTATTTACAGTGCTTAGTTAGAGTTCACATATTCTTTGACTATTCTATTTGATCGGCTCATGTCCCATGAGGATGTGATCTCATCATATGATCTGATACAGGCTGATGGGGGTCCATAACAACAAGAGCTGCCATAACTTTTGACATGATCTCAAATGTTGCAATGTCATACGTACTGTATGACATATCTCGTTATCGATACTATATAACTTTCAACAGACGACAGGAGACATCATCATTCGACCACACTTCACAACTATAGCAATGGAATACTACGAACTTTTCAATCCAATTCCCATATCCCTACCTAGTCTATCCCCATCTAGTATCCAACCTCTACCCCTTGAAGCTTACATCAACCTGGACGACATCCTTACCCCGGCCCCCTGCACGAACCTTCTAGAAGTTCTAACCACATCCCGAGGGAAGCCCATGATTGTTCCTTATGTGGTCTACGACGAGATTACATGCTCTAAAAAATAGCTTCCCATTGTCAGCATAAAACGATGATTTGCCAAATTCAGCCACTCTCGTGGAAGCTGTTACATTGCCCTGTTTAGCCTGTTTCGAGCGTTTGCTAGACGAAGGTCCAGCCGGTTTGTCGGCAGGCCGTTTGACAAAGCGGTCCATTATAACAAGCGAATACAATACCAAGCGAATAACGATGACGTTATCGATGACGAAATATCTGACAAGTGACGATTCAATAACAACACTGATTTAACATACTGTTCGATTTTTTAATCCATTGTATGTCTTCTGGTCAACTTTATGTCGTTTGGTCAAGTTTTTTATGTCGTTTGGTCAACTTTATGTCGTTTGGTCAAGTTTTATATGTCTACTGGTCAACTTTATGTCGTCTGGTCAAGTTTTATATGTCTACTGGTCAACTTTATGTCGTCTGGTCAAGTTTTATATGTCTACTGGTCAACTTCCATATACGATCTCGGAAGGCAGATCTCCCCTTCGCAATACAAGCTCGGAAACGGGAGCTCCGCCTTCAGAGGTACGTATCGAGAATGACTTGGACAGTCAAAATTTTTCAAAGTTTTTCTGGAAACTACTTTTGTTCATGTTTCATGCTACCCTGATCATTATGAGCCGAAAATATTTTTTGGGTTTAAAATTCACACATACCTTTCGATACACGATTTTGGACTCGAGGGCTCCCCTTGTAATGCGATCTCGGAAGGCAGGCCTCCCCTTCGCAATACGAGCTCGGAAGCGGGAGCTCCGCCTTCAGAGGTACGTATCGAGAATGACTCGGGCAGAAAATTTTCTAAGTCAACATTTTTCAAAGTTTTTCTGAAACTACTTTTGTTCATGTTTCTTGCTACCCTGATCATTATGAGCCGAAAATATTTTTTTCGGTGTTCAAAGTTCACACATACCCTTCGATACACGATTTTGGACTCGAGGGCTCCCCTTGTAATGCGATCTCGGAAGGCAGGCCTCCCCTTCACAATACGAGCTCGGAAGCTCCGGAAGCTCGGAAGCTCCGCCTTCAGAGGTACGTATCGAGAATGTACCTAAAATGCGCAAATTTGGTCCTCAGATTTAAAGGAAAATGCGCAAATTTGGTCTTCAGATTTAAAGGAAAATGCTCGATTTTTCGCGGAGGACTGAAAAATCGCGATTTGTCGCGGAGAATGGGAAATTTCGCGATCTGTCGCGGAAAACGTAAAAAATCGCGATTTGTCGCGGAGAATGGGAAATTTCGCGGTTTCGTACATGCCGCGAAATCCTTTTGTCCCTGTGTGACGGTAACGATGCAGAGGGTATGACTGAGTGTGTCCTGCTGGTCAGATCGTAAAGGATGGTAAATGTGAGGCTTGTGCTGCCGGGCAGTACGAGATTGAAGGACAGTGCTCGCCTTGTGCTGCCGGATCATTCTCCGACCAAGCTGGCTCTGTGACCTGTGACCTGTGCGTTGCTGGACATTACAGTGCTGAGGGTGCCTCACAGTGTTCGGAGTGCTCTGCTGGACAATACCAGGACAAGACAGGACAGGCTAATTGTGAGGACTGTGCTGCTGGATACTACGGACCTGCCGCCGCTGCCGCTAGCTGTGTCAAGTGTGCTGCCGGGTTCTTCAACTCACAACAGGGACAGGCTGCTTGCCAAGAGTGTCCAGCTGGAACCATCACCGAGATTGAGGGTCAGCTCTCCTGCCAGGAATGTGATGCCGGAAGCTACTCCATCTCCTCCTCTCAATGTGAGCAGTGTCCTGCCGGACAATTCTCTGACGATAAGGCTGCCGTGTGCTCACTCTGTGCTGCCGGCTCCTACACCCCTTATGAAGGATCTTCTGGTTGCATGCCCGCCCCTGCTGGTAAATACGTAGACTCGGAGGGTGCTGTTGATGCTAAGGTCTGTCCAGCAGGAAGTTACTGTGAGGAGGGTGCTGTTGATGCTAAGGTCTGTCCAGCAGGAAGTTACTGTGAGGAGGGCTCTGTCGCTCCTACTGACTGCCCAGCAGGAAGTATCTGCGGAGAAGGATCCTCTTCTGGAACACCCTGTCCTATTGGAACATACAACCCCAACGCTGGTTCTGTCTCACTTGATGAGTGCGTTGTGTGTCCTGCCGGGAGATACTGTGACCAGGCTGGTTTAGTAGCCCCCTCCGGTCTCTGCAGTGCTGGATATTACTGTCCTGCTGGAAGTGAATCTGCTCAAGAGGAGATTAGCCCTGCTGGTCACTACTGCCCAGATGGTTCAGTTGAACCCACACCTTGTCCTAGAAGTACTTACAATGAGCTGGCTGGTGCTGTGTCTGCTGATGGCTGCAAAGCTTGCCCAGAGGGTAAAGAAACTGCCCAGAAAGCAGCAATTTCCGCCGACCAATGCAAAGATATCAACTGTGTTCCGGGATACTTCAGGGATCCTGATCAAGGCTGCCAGATCTGCCCTAAGGGTACATTCAGCAACATTGCAAACGCTGTCGCTTGCAGGTCCTGTCCTAGACACCAGTACAACTCTGCTGAAGGAGCTGTACAGTGCATGCAGTGTCCAGACACTGCATTCACATGGTCTGAAAGAACTGACTCTCTGGATGGCTGCATTGGACCCGTTATAGAGGTGTGCACCGGAGAAGACATGACTGGAAACTGCTACCGTTACTACGACAACGAAATGCTGGTAAATGTCACAGTAAAATCTGTCAAGGTTATAAGCGGAGAGTTTGATTTGTTCGACTTATCCAACAAGAGGGGATACTACACAAAGCTTGCAGAGAGACACGGAGCTCACAACGTGAATCAACTTGGAAGACTCTCCAACGTCGGATCCTTCGTTGCCCTCATAAACGACGTGTTCTGCAGCCTGGACCAGGGCTGGAAGTACCATGGATCTATCCGGAAGACCTCAAAGTCTGGCAAGGCCTGCATCAACTGGAAGAGGACTCCTGAAGCTGGCAGAGCGGCTCCAAACCACTTCTGTCAGAATCCCTATGGATACGGACACGCTACCAAACCCTACTGTTACATCAGCAAAACAGAGAAAGAAGATTGTGACATCCCGTCCTGTATATGGGACATGGACTGCTTTACCGGTAACGGAGTCCAATACCGAGGAAAGGTTGGTGACACAATCAGTGGACACGTCTGCCAGAACTGGAACACTGACTACCCTGTTATCCACAGCTACCACTCTCCCGAATACAACTGGGCTGGTGTAGGTGAGCACACAAATTGCAGGAACCCGAGCCCGGAGAGCGAGGGTAGACCCTGGTGCTTCAAGGACTACTTCTGGTCTTGGTTTGAGATCTGGGATTATTGTGATATTCCTGCCTGCTCCAGAGCCAAGTTTGATTTCTACCGTTTCTAAGGATGCAATTGATGTATTGTATTAAAATTTATGATTGGTAAAAAGTTTGAATATTAATGGTATGAAATAAATCGTTGATCTGTTTTATTTGTCAGTAAAAGTATAAAGTAAATGATGTTGCACTTAATGAGTAAAGCTGGCTGCTTAAAGTTAAACGAGGCTCTCCGCTTTCGGTTCTTCTAACTCCAAGGACCTGAATCTATCTAATATTCCTTTTGTTAACTTGTAAACTTTCTCAATTTCTACAATTTTTATTGAATTCTTAATTTGTGATGGAATTCTTGGATGCATAACTTGACACATGAATGCGGATACTGTCGAGGTTATTTAAATTTGATACGGCAGAGAAGTTATATTAAGTCAGCGAGCAAAATTTGCTAATCGCATGAACCAGTTTTTCCGTTCCTTCCTACTACCTGAATAAACTTGAACTCTTGTTCGAAAAAACAATCCAGTATTAGTGATTAGGCTCATAATCGTAATTTCATTTGATATTGTTAATGTTTTATCACGATTCTTAAAGTAATGTTGAAGGGTTGGATTAACCGTATTCACTCTTGCTAACACTGTAAGCAATATATGTTGCCTCTTCTGAACTCTATTTGAGTATTTGTGACGTTATGTGTGACGTTAATCTTGTGTGGTTAAATCAAAAGAAAAGAAAATCTGACCATTTCAACGTTAAATAATGTGAAAAATGTTTAGGATTAATATGATATTATAACATTACTAGAAAATTCGTGGTCACAGGGAGGAAGCTAATAGTATTTTTTTGTTAGTAAGTTTAAATCGCTTCAAAATATTCTACACAACCGAAGATACAGCCGATTAAAATGTTGCTCGCACTAAACACAACGTAATATCAACAAAACCGATAAAAATGCCGTTTTAACAATCTTTGCACGTCCGGTCCGTGAAACAACCCTCGTTACCATGGTTACTGCAACATTTTGCTTTTTACCGAATTTGCACGTGGGCGGTCGTACAGAAAGAATTCTCTGAATTATAAGTAAGACTAGAAAACCCGTGGTCATAGGGAGGAAGCTAATAGTATTTTTTGTTAGTAAGTTCTTAAGTTTAAATCGCGTCAAAAAATATCCGTCACAAACAAAGATAAAGCCAATTAAAATGTTGCTCGTACTAAACACAGCGTAATATCAACAAAACCGATCAAAATGACGTTAAAATAATCATTGCACGTGCACGTGCGTGTAATAACCCTCGTTACCATGCAGTTACTACGCAAGTTCATATTTCGTCTAATTTGCACGTGGGCGGTCGTACATACATACAGAAAGAATTCTCTGAATTATAATATAGATTGTACCGTATTAGATTAGTATTATTTACATAAGTGCAAAAAATGTACCTTATAATAAATGGACTAAATAAAAAGTAGCTTCATTTCTCGATTGAATGACTGAAATGTACATCTTCTTTGGGTATATTTTAAGGTCGGAGCGTGTTAGAATTTAAAAATGTTAGAATATATAAATGTTAGTATTTGTAAATGTTAGTATTTATAAATGTTAGTATTTATAAATTATCACCTGAACGACACTGAGAGGTTCCCCCACAATCTCGGTAGCAGTACTATCGTTAGCATGGTGGATGTAGTACGCTAGCAGGTCAATAGGGTTTGCTCTGTTGTTCTTTATCCTCAGTTCAGATCTCAACCTTGCTTGTTCCAGATGAAACTGTAGAGAGAGAGTGGTTTGTGATAAAGTCTAAACGCGATATCTAGCTAGTGCTTGCTGGCGTTAGAAAGCGCTGTCTAACGCCAACTAGCACTAGATATCACGATAAGACTATCGAAAAAGGACCGAGATAGTTGGTGTTGTGTTTTGTAGTTCTGGGTAAGTTTTGTATTACAGGTTATCTTAAGTAAAGGTGATTTTATAAGCGTCTCTCATTCTCCAAATATGAAAAACCTCAGGACTCAGAAACTGAACTCAAAGATTTGTCGGTATAATGAAAATGGATAAAATCAAGATGTCATAACATTTAAGGAGCATTATAAGACATACCCCGACCCCCCGGCCACAGCCCCCTACATAAAACTCACCTGGCCCTCTTGTTCCTGCCACTCCTTGAACATTTCCCTCTCCTTCTCCAGTCTCTCTCTGTCCAACTCCTCAGCACGTGCCGCTTGTTCCATCTCCCTTTCCTCTCGTCGCCGCTGTACCTGAGTAATAACCACAGTAGTAACCACAGTAATAACCACAGTAATAACCACAGTAATAACCACAGTAATAACCACAGTAATAACCACTGCACCTGACCCATCATTCAAAGCTTAGCATTTAGGATAATATAATAGCAAATAGATTAATTTAATATTTATTTTATTACGTATCTATTTATTTTATTTTTAATATTCTATTATTTCAGATTTATTGTAAGCGAAGGTAATACGATAGAAATACACAATAATTAAAGATGTATCTAATCACTTTAAAGCCTAGGTTTTAAATATTACGATTAAAAAAGCGATGCTTGTAACGAAGAATGTACATTTCTTAAAGCTAGACCTCAACAAGCCGTACAGCTTACCTTCCAGAGTTCAATTTTCTTCTCTTTCTCCTTCATCTGAGCGAAGAGTTCCCTGTCTCCCTCATCCAACTGGTCTAATCCCACCTCTTCTTGCTTCTTCTTCCACACAAATGCTTCATCTGGGATGCAGAGGTTAACTCAAATATGGTCTTAAATATTTATTCTGCTTTAAGGGAGAACGTGGGACAAATTGAGAAGGTTAAGAATGTTGAGAATGTTGATGGTAAGAGTAGTTATTTGGATCTAAAGTGATAAGGTATACAATAACAGTTGTTAATCAGCTCCAGTAAGTTATATAGATTGTTCAAAAATTAACTAAACGGTATAAATTTACCAGTAATATCACGTACCCTTGTTTGATTGAGGGAGCTCTATTTGAGGTTCTGCTTTTACCACTTCCTCCTTAACCCCTTCCTCTTGTGAGTCGTGGTGTTTCCTTTTCTTCTTCTTCTTGTCCTTCTTGTGTTTCTTGTGGTGATCTGATCCCATGCTATGTGTGTTGCTTGAGTAAATTAGCTAGAAAAAGTTAAAAAGATTAGTAAACATGATATTTAATCTGTATTGTGCAGGGCTAAACTACATTCTACAATGAGGTAGGGCTAAACTACAATCATAACATGAATTAAAGTTGTTGGTCTCGACGCTGTTTGTAATGCAGATTGCAGTAGTAGAACAAAAGTTATACAGTACTAGAAGTATAAAAGTTATTATAGTTGTTAAAGTTTTCGACACAGATTAAATTCAGTAATGTGTAGATCATATTAAAAATAACAATTTCATGTACTCACTTGACACTAAACAAAAATCAACTCAGTTATCAAATTAGTATTGTCAGCACCGATTAAAAGTTTCTTACAAAATGCATTGTCACCAAAAAATGCATTTTTATCAAAATGTAATAACATATTGTCGAAAATAGATAAAATTGATTTAGCTAACAAGAATGTAAAATTACAAACATAATGAATTGTTCCACTCAACTTCCACCAGGAATTTGTCTAAAACAATCAATATTCATCAAGACAGCTTTACAATTCAACACTACTAAACTATTACTACAACTGTGTTCAGTTATCATTCTTCTCAGTAAGCAGGTACTCTGTTTCAATTAAATATTGCTGTTCTATCTTGTTATATTAAATTATAATTGAAAGATTTATTTTCTCGTTTAAAACAAAACACAGCCTGAGACTTCTCATTTAATTGAAACTGTAACAGAAACTAACCAACCGCATTTAAAACAAGTGTGTCACCATTCCATGCACTAAGTCGTATATACGTTCACATTTTTAACCAAATCTGGTGACTATTCTCTGAACCTGGTTTGTAGTCAGTAGCAAAGTTGAAACTGAGAACTGTCACTCTGTTACACACTACCTTTAGGTGTGTAGAAGTTTTGGTTATTATCCAGTGTTTGAGTTTATCAGCTGGTACATTGTTTAGAAACTGTGTATTGATACGGTATGGAGTACATCCCCTGATACAATAACTCCACTGATTGGTTTTGGCATCTCTATGAATCATTACTCCTTTCTTACTACTCCCACCTTCTCCAGATAGAGTATAATACACAACAATCTGATTCACTGACTCTGTAGTGTTAGTTATCATCTGTACTGGTTCGTAGTGTGACAGAGTGTACCATTTACTATTAACACACTGTATCCAACCTAGAAATATATTAAATATTATACATGGAACACTTAATTGATACCTGTTAATAACGTGCGAATAATTACGTATAAGATTAAGGATAAAGAATTCTGAAAGTTTCAATTGTAGAAATACCTTAATTAACCTATTACATATCATATCATTTGCCTGACTCTATTTCCTCTGTTTGATTAGCAATATCTTTACAATCCTCACCATCACTGTCTTGTTCATCTTCAGTATTTTCATCAACTTCTAGCTCTTCTTTAGAGCTACTTGACTCTTCAGTATTTCTCCCTTTAACAAACTTCTCTACAACCGCTTTCACTTCAGCACATTTAGAATTTTCAGTTGTAGCAGCAAGAACTTCACCTAAATCATTCAATTCCGAAGGAAATGTACGGCTGAACTTCTGGACATCTAGTTTTTGTAGCATGTACAGAGTATTCTCATCTAATTCATTACATGTTAGCGACAAAGAAACATACGTAATAAGACAATTGCCGATAATGTTCAAGTTATTCGCAGCAATAGCGAGGGACATGTCAATACGTCGTTTTGGTAACTTAGAAAAATTAGCCATGTATCTTTGTAAAAAGACAAATTTTCCATTTCCACTGAAAGTCACATTCTTCACAAAGCAGCTAACGTATCTGCTGTCTTTCAGATTGTAATGACTTCTGCTGGCAATCTCGCAAGCAAATAACATTTCTTCGTACGAGTTGTTCTCAAACTTCAGTACTTCTGCTTTGTAAAACTAGACTGAAGTTGGACAGGATATTATATAATTTTACAGTTCATAACCGGACGTCAAATCGAATTGTTAAATTTACCAAATAATCTTTTAAGCATTGAAAAGTAACAAAATTCACTATATAATTTATACAGTCTCAAATCTTTTACCTGAAACAGGTTTGAGGTGAGGTTTTCAATAACAGGACTGTTATAGGACATGATCATGGAATTAGTTCTGATCTCTTGTGCATCTTTCAGCTTCAGAAGCAGATTTCCGTGTACAGGAGAGTTGATGTGCTCTACACCAAAGTTGGCTGGTACTTTAATTTTTGGGGCCATATAGCTGAAAACTAATATTGAAATTGTAAATATAATATAACGTTTGAGAAATAATATTTCTGAAATATATTAGTATTGGGGAGGAAGTTTTAATCTATCACTGATTTTGCAGAAAGAAAACAACTGTGGTAAATGAGAATTTGCGGCAAATCGGGCATGGTAAATTGGGGTTAAATTATTGTATCTTTGCGCATCATTTTTATTTTTTAAGATGAATGGATCCACAATGTCGAAAATTGTCTTATGTGTTTCTGTATTAATACAAGGAGGTCGAGTAAGCAAAACAAGAAAATATAAAAATTTAAATTAATTAATTTGCTCCTCAATTTAATTTACACACCACAGTATCCAAATGATATGAAAGTTTACACTAAAATCAAAACCAATCTCTATAATATAATGTTCTGAAAGGACATGAAGTGTTTAAATAATGTCACTGGAACTGAGCAGCTGTTACCACAATATAAAACTACAAACAATAACACTCCTCAGAAAAGAGCATGATAAGATGATCTCAGTAATCAGGGTATAATTACCACTCTTACATTCTCCCTGTGTCTACTGTTAATCTTAAGAGACACCTCATGTTCACCACTCTTAGACAGAGTCTCACTCAACAACACATGTTTCTCTGATGGTACAAACAGGTTTACTCCTCAAATACTCTATCCTGTTAGTGTACTGAGTAATATAATAATTATCTAAAACTATAAAAACAGAATGAGTACCAGTTCCGTGATTAATTGTAAGTAAATCAGTAAAACTTAAACAGAGAAAGATAATCGTTTACGTTAAATGAAAATGTTTAAGTTTCAGAACAAGCCGTATAAGGTTGGATACAGTGTTATATTAAGAGTATTTAAAATATGATATTAATGATGTATTTATTATTCAAAAAAGCACAGCCTGAGCCTATTAATTTAATACAGAATTTTATAAGAAGGTTAATGAGTTCCTAACTAAATTATGTGTAATAATAAGTATACGCTGCTCAGTTGTTGGATACAATAATGCTAAAATCAATCTGAAAGAATATTCTCTGTAATAATGAGAGTTTAGATGTCAGATTGGTATTACTAATTTACAGAAATTAACCGACAGTGTTTAAAACAAGTGTGTCACCATAAGGAGTATAAAGTCGTACTTTCGTGCACCTTTTCAACCAAATCTGGTGACTATTCTCAGAACCTGGTTTATAGTCAGTAGCAAAGTTGAAATGGAGAACTGTCACTCTGTTACACACTACCTTAATATTAAGCGTACTTAAAATACATTATTAATGATGTATTTATTGTTTAAAACAAACACAGTCTGAGACTATTAATTTAATACAGAATTTTATAAGAAGTTTAATGAGTTCCTAACTAAATTATGTGTAATAATAAGTATATACTGCTCAGTTGTTGGATACAATAATGCTATAATTAATCTGAAAGAATATTCACTGTAATAATGAGAGTTTAGATGTTAGATTGGTATTACTAATACACAGAAATTAACCGCCTGTATTTAAAACAAGTAATTATCATGACCATTAACAAGTCGTATATTCGTGCACCTTTTCAACCAAACCTGGTGACTATTCTCAGAACCTGGTTTGTAGTCAGTAGCAAAGTTGAAATTGAGAACTGTCACTCTGTTACACACAACCTTTAGGTGTGTAGAAGTTTTGGTTATTATCCAGTGTTTGAATTTATCAGCTGGTACATTATTTAGAAACTGTTTATTGACACCCCATGGAGTACATCCCCTAATACAATAACTCCACTGATTGGTTCCAGCTCTATAAATCAGAATTTCTTTCTCACTACTTCTATCTTCTCCAGATAGAGTATACCACACAATAATCTGGTTCACTGATTCTGTAGTTTTAGTTATCATCTGTACTGGTTCGTAGTGTGACAGGGTATACCATGTACTCTTAACACACTGTATCCAACCTAGAAATATATTAAATATTATACATGGAACACTTGATTGATACCTGTTAATAACGTGTCAATACTAGTATTTACTACTTAACTATTAGTTACTAGCAGTTATTACGTATGTTTAAGGATAAAGAATTCTGAAAGTTTCAATTGTAGAAATATCTTAATTAACCTATTACATATTGTTTTATCATTTACCTGATTCTATTTCCTCAGTTTGATTAGCAACATCTTTACAATCCTCACCATCAATGTCTTGAAAATCTTCAGTATTTTCATCAACTTCTAGCTCTTCTTTAGAGCTACTTGACTCTTCAGTTTTTATCCTTTTATTTTTAACAAACTTCTCTACAACCGCTTTCATTTCAGCACATTCAGAATCTTCAGATAAAGCAGCAAGGAAGTCAGATAGTTCATTCAATTCAGAGCGAAAAGTACGGCTAAACTTCTGGACATCCAGCTTTTGAAGCATGTACAGAGAATTATCATCCAATTCCTTGCATTTTAAGGCTAGGGAAACATAGGATATAAGGCAATTGCTGATCATGTTCAGATCGTTAGCAGCAATAGCTAAGGACATGTCAATCCGACGTTTTGACAGCTCAGCAAATCCAGCCATATATCTCTGTAAGAAGATAAATTTACCGTTACCACTGAAAGTAACATTCCTCACAAAGCAGCTGACATATCTGCTGTCTTTCAAATTGTAATGCGCCCTGCTAGCTATCTCGCAAGCAAATAAAATCTCTTCGTACGAGTTGTTCTCAAACTTCAGTACCTCTGCTTTGTAAAACTTTAGACATCTCTTAGTCAACCAGGACACATCGAATACATGTGCCATCTTATTCACTTCTTCAAAGATGTCTTTTTCTAGTTTATCAACTTCGCCAGAGTAAAGCGCTTCAACAAAACAGTCGACTGCTGGCTTTGTGAAATCATCCATTTCTAGCGTGGACTGAAATTGGACAGGATATTAATATATTTTACAGTTCATAACCGGACATTATTTAGAATCGAATTGTCAAATTTACCGAATACACTTTCAGCATTGAATAGTAACGAATTTCACTATTATTTGAACAGTCTCAAATATTTTACCTGAAACAGGTTGGTGGCGAGGTTCTCAATAACAGGACTGTTGTAGGACATGATCATGGAATTAGTTCTGATCTCTTGTCCATCTCTCAACTTCAGAAGCAGATTTCCGTGTACAGGAGAGTTGATGTGTTCTACACCAAAGTTGGCAGGTACTTTTATTTTTGGGGCCATATAGCTGAAAACTAAGATCGAAATTGTAAATATAATAATATAAGGGTTGAGAAATATATTAATATTGGGGGAGGAAGTTCTAATTTATCACAGATTTAGCGGAAAGAAAGCAACTGTGGTAAATGAGAGTTTGCAGCAAATTTATGTTAAATTATTGTATCTTTGCGCATCATTTTTATTTTTGAAGATGAATGGATCCACATTCCACAATGTTGTAAAATTACTTATGTGTTTCTGTATCAATACAAGGAAGTCGAGTAAGCAAAACTTTACATTCAAACAAGAAAATATAAAAAGTTCAATAAATTAATTTTCTCCACAATTTAACTTACACATCATAGTATCTAAATAAGATCAAAGTTGGAACTAAAATCAAAATCAATCTCTATATTATAATGTTCTAAAAGGACATGAAGCGTTTTAATAATGTCACTGGAACTGAGCAGCTGTTACCACAATATAAAACTACAAACAATAACACTCCTCAGAAAAGAGCATGATAAGATGATCTCAGTAATCAGGGTATAATTACCACTCTTACATTCTCCCTGTGTCTACTGTTAATCTTAAGAGACACCTCATGTTCACCACTCTTAGACAGAGTCTCACTCAACAACACATGTTTCTCTGATGGTACAAACAGGTTCACTCCTCAAATACTCTATCCTGTTAGTGCACTGAGTAATATAATAACTATCTAAAACTATAAAAACAGAATGGGTGCCAGTTCCTTAATTAATTGTAAGTAAATCAGTAAAACTTAAATAGAGAAAATAATTGTTTACGTTAATTGAAAATATTTATGTTTCAGAACAAGCCAGCTATAAGGTTGGATACAGTGTTATATTAAGCGTACTTAAAATACGATATTAATGATGTATTTATTGTTTAAAACAAATACAGCCTGAGCCTATTAATTTAATACAGAATTTTATAAGAAGGTTAATGAGTTCCTAACTAAATTATGTGTAATAATAAGTATACGCCGCTCAGTTGTTAAATACAATAATGCTATAATTAATCTGAAAGAATATTCACTGTAATAATGAGAGTTTAGATGTCAGATTGGTATTGTTAAATCAGAGAAGCAATGACACACGTTGATAAGTCAGGAAAGAAGTCAATAGATATACAAAGACCCCACGGCTAACAGAGACATCATATATATAACATACTCCTGAAATATAGGGAGTTAACTCACATTCAAATATAGATACAAACATATAAAATATAATAGGAGAATATCAAGTTCACAATCTCCCTAAACTTTCTCTCAAATATTAGAAATGTTTAAATATTAAAAATCCCTAAAAACAACATACCCAAGTATCAAACTGGGCTACCTTTAAAACACAGATTCTGCCGTGGGTCAATTCAATCAAAACAATAGAATTATATCAAATAATTCATTCTCATTCATTCACACTGTTTATTTTAAAAGTTCAGTTCTAACTTTCATTATACATTACAGTTTAATAGTTCAATTCCAACGTTCATTACACATTACATCAATTACTGAGCTTACAATACAGAGTACTGTCTCAGTTCACTAGGAAGTGTCCCTTTTTCTAACACCTCACGCAACAAAGACGAAGATGCACCAGCCTTTGTCAAACAGTCTGCAAGCTGGAGATTTGTTGGAACCCACACATAACGTACTTCATTTCTGTTGAATCGTTGTCTTAGACAAGCCATGGGAATCCTCAACCCTTTGTCTTCAAGGGTGTTTGTTGTTTTCACAGCATCAAAAAGAGACTTGCAATCCGTTATACAGACTATAGGAACATCTATTTTCACAATTTCATTCCACTGCGCTTTAATCAGCTCTGCAGACTCCAGGCCGTCAACTAATGCCCAACTTTCAGCAGCTAATGTGCTCTTACATACTTTCTTTATCTTTCTACTCTGCCATGTAAGTGGACAGCACTGACCAGATCGGTCAACCATCAATACAAGATGCCCACCTTGTGAGGATCCATCAGCCAGGTTACCAAAGGAAGCATCACTGAATACAACCATTGTTGTGTGTTGAAGGTCAAGTGAAGGAAACCTGATTGACAGTGGGTTTTTCTGCATAAACACAATTGTCTTGTTCACCAGTTTCAGATCTTTGATTGTTCCCGAAGCATAGGAGTTGGATGCAATGCATGTGCCATACGCAATATCTGGTCGTGACTGTGTTGCTGCCCAGAGCAGCTGTCCTGCTACTGATCGCAACTGACTTCTTTCTGCCTCATTGATTGGACATGCATTCAGTTTTACTTTGTTCTGGTCGATTTTGATTCTGCTCACTTGATTTACATAACCCAGCTGTGATATTTTGATTGCCCTGTAACTTTGACTGAGATCGAGCCCAGTGTACGTAAAGGATGTATCGACTTCCATACTGAGCTTGTATTTCATTTTTAAGGCACCAATGACCTCTTTGATGAATATTTCCAGTCCTCCAAATATAAGATCATCAACATGGATCACTATGATCCCACACGGCTTATCATTTCTCTGTAAAAAGAAAAATGATTCATCGTACACTGACACTGCTACACCAAGCTCTACTAGGGTATCTCTTAGTTCGACATACCACATTCTTGGACCATCGACCAAGCCATAGATGCATTTGAGGAGTTTCCACAATTTTCCAGATACCTTAGCTTCATTTGGTGGTTTAATGTATACTGTTCTTGAGATATCTTTTCCCTGTAGAAAAGCAGCCTGTACATCAATGTGCTGCAGTTTCCAATGCTCTGCTTGCAAAAGAGTAATTGCCAATCTTATTGAGTCCCTACTGCATGTTGGGGAATCTGATCGTATTGCTTGATTTTTCTCCTGATAGCCTAGAGCAACTAACCGTGCCTTGTACACATTCGTGGTATTCTTTATCTTCTTTGTGATTACCCACCTCACACCAATCGTTTTCTGACCTTCATCAGGAACTTCCTCATAGACTTTATTGGTACAAAACTTTTCAAGCTCTGCCTCTTTAGCATCAACAATTGCTTGTTCACATGAATCTGTAACGCTTGTAAACATAACTTCATGTTCCTGCTCCTCTTCTGTATCTTCGTGCCATTCCTCTGTTAACTCAAACCAGTCGACACAATGAGTTTCTTCCTCCCCATCAAGCTGAATGTTCAGGCAGTTTTTGTATTTTCCTCCAGCCTTACCTGCTCTACTAAGGATGTAAGCCTTCTCCCAGACATCCTCTTCTCCCTCTTCAGGGTACTTGGGTTTGTACATCACAGAAGTTTTCGTCTTAGGCAGGTTTTTATTTCCATTACCATTAACACTGGCTGTGCTTACAGGAGCACTAGAAGGAGTATCTATTTCATCAGTTATTTGCGCCTGAGCCAATGGCAAACTGTCATTTTCATCCTGATTTCTTTCTTCTGTTCTTGTCATATTTTTCTCAAAGTCAGATAATTCATCATTATTCGATTCTGAAGGAGCTTTGACACTGACGGGATCACTTTTGTCCTTCAAATTACCAGTTTCTTCTAATTCAGGGACATATGTTGGCTTAATGTGACAAGGATGTACCTTGATGATCTGAAATCCATGCTTTACCACAAACGTCTGACCATCCCGACCTATGACAACACCTGGTCCATGCCAGGAGTCACTGTTGTTTCTTTTATAGAAGATCTTTTCCCCTGGATCGAGATGAACATCATTACATGTTCTGACCTGGCTTTTCAAAGCTCTCATGATCTTGGAACTATTCTCTGCTCTTATAAACCCCTCTCTGGCAATCCTCATTGCTCTTAGATGATTCTCTACAGTTTCACTACAGACACTACTACTCGATTCCATTGCAGGAAGCTTACTGTCTATCACATTGGGGAAAGATGGATTTCTACCCATAACCAACTGCATGGGTGAATACCCACCCGTCATTTGTAAAGAGTTTTTTAGCACTAAGTGCCCAGCTCAAAGCTGTTTTCCCACGAACAATTCGAATCTTGCTTTGTCTTTATCATACTTTCAGCTAGAACTTGATGATGGCGTTCAACCATACCATTGCTAAAAGGACTTTCAGCTGCCGATTGTTGTGATTCGATATTGAATCTCTCACACATTTCTACATATTCTGCATTAGAAAACTCCCCTCCATTATCGGCCATAAAACGGCGGGGAGGCCAGAACTGTGCTATCCACCCAGAACAGATTGCCTCTACAATTGTCTCTTTTCGTTCATTTGGAACCAACAATGCAACTGAATATCGTGTAGCACAGTCAATCATGTGCAGAAATGTTACCTCTCCCTGGACCGTTTTCAAGTCCATAGCTACACAATCATTAAACACTGTTCCTCGTGGGAGACCAACTACTGGTCTGGGCTTTGGCTTAGAGTATCTTTGACACACTTCACACTTTTGGCATACATCCTCTAGTACCTCAAGAAATAGTTTAGAGTCAAAACCTGCATTCTTTAGGAGGGTCTTTAGTTTGTACATCGGTGCATGGGCAAACTGTCTGTGGAGTTTAAGTGCCTTTTTCGCCATAAGCTTTTTGTTGTTCCCACCAAAAGTTTCATCTGTAACTGTGAGAAATACTTTCACACTGGAGTCCACAAGACTCCTCTTTTTGTTACAGATAGGCACACAATAGTGTCCAGATTTGCACTCCAAAAGGGGTATTTTCTCTCCATTGAACTCGAGAGTATCTTCAAGAAAGTTAAGGATTGCACCAACCTTTTTTAATGCAGGCTTGCTAAGCAGAAGAGGAATATCACATTTGACAACATTTGCCTCAATCAAGATTCTTTTGCTTCCGATTCTTCCAGGAATTTTAATGAGCTTATTTGACACAACTGACTTACCATCTCCAAACGTGAAAGGTGTCTGGCAGCTAGTTGAAGACATCATGATCTCTCTCTCAGCATCATCAAGTGTTTCTATGTACTGGCTGACCCAATTCTCGCCAACGACAGATTTTGTACAACCTGAATCGATAACTGCACAAGAAAGAGTCTCAAAAACTAGTGAATTCACTTCACTGTTTTGCTGGTAAAGCACAGACTCTGGATCAGCCACTGTAGTAAGCAATGTTATGTATGTACGTGACAATGAGTCATCTACTTCCATCTCAGCAGGTTGACCTTGAACCAAGAAATTTCTCGATGTCCCTTGTTCAGATCTCCAATTTGGGTTTGGTGCTGCTTGATTAGTACACTCTCTTGAGTAGTGACCATTCTTCCCACAGTTGAAGCAATTGATCTGAGATCTGGGCCTCTTACCTCTCACATACGGATTCCCCTGATTTCTAAGAGTTCCCCTACTCCTCATGGGACCTCCTCTATCTTGTCCTCTACTCCGTCTGTAACCATGGGAGGTAAAATTACATGACTCTTCTGGTTCAGTCTTGATACAAGACCCCGTCACTTGGTCAAGTCCTGATCTGTTCACATGTACAGAAAAAATCTTTGATATCGTTGAGATCATTTCTGCATATGTAAACTCTTTAACCGTTGCCAGTGCAAGATCCACTTTTTCACTTGACAGATTTGCACTGTTTAGAACTCTATATGCTAGTATTGCATCTGGCAGTTCCATCTTGTGTTTCCTCAGGTCTTCATACAACTTAGCGAATTCAGAAATAAATGCCTGAAGATTCATACCCTCTTGACGTTCAAACTTTTCAAATCGACAATATGCTCGATATGCCATGTGAGATGAGTCCTCCTGGTATATACTGTCCAGGCGTTTTATAACTTTGTCCAACCCGTCATCAGCAGTTAAGACGTCTATTCCTAACGATCTCACATGGTTCTTCACCGGTCCCTCAGACAATTCCAAAAGGAATGCAGTTGCCCGACGCTTCTTTTCGTAGGATGTGAAAGTATTCCATAGGTCAATATCCAACCGCCAGTCTTCATAATTCTGACCTTCCTTGTATGCCGGTGGGGCCTTTTGTGGTCCAACAGCTTTCCTTTCTACCACTTTATCTTCACCTGTCATTTTTGAACCACTTCCTGCTACCAATGTTAAATCAGAGAAGCAATGACACACGTTGATAAGTCAGGAAAGAAGTCAATAGATATACAAAGACCCCACGGCTAACAGAGACATCATATATTAAACAACTCTGAATATGGGGATTTAAAACTCAATTCAAATATAGATAAAAACATTAAAATTAATAAGAATTTCAATTTCACGGATTCTAATCCCAAAAAAATTTTAAACCGCAGTATTTAAAAAAAAGTGTTCCCCCTCATATTAAAATGGTCGTTACTCGTGAAACCTTTTAAAAACCCCCGAAAATTTAAAGGATATGTTCTAAGGCCCTTAAAAACTTTTTGTGTTTTGGATTTCGGGATTGGCCTTTAAAAATTTTTTTAAAAAATTTTTGAAAAACTTTGGATAAAAAATAAACATATTTTTTAAGGGACCAAAAACAATTATCACCCCCCCCTTTTAGAAAAAAATAAAATCAAAATTTTGAGAGAAATTTCCATAAGGACCCCCTTTCCCCCTAAAAATTATTATAGGAAATTATTATTTGTTTAAGACTAAACAATTCGAAAGTTTAAATTTAAAATACCCTTTTTTAACCTATTAAATTAATTATTACCTGATTTTTTTATTTCCCCAGTTTTAATAGCAAACTTTTAAAAACCCCACCATCATGTCTTGTACTTTCATATTTCATCCATTTTTTAGCTCTTCTTTAGAGCTACTGACCTTCCATTCTCCCTTTACAAAATTCTCTAAAAAGCTTTCATTTACCATTCGAAACTTTGTTAAAGGGAAAAGGAAATTGTTATCATTCAATTCGGGGAAAAAGTACGGCTAAATTCGGACAATCCAGCTTTTGAGCTTACAGAAAATTTTTTCATCCAATTCCTTTCATTTTTTAGGGAAAAAAGAGGGAATAAAAAAATTTCTGTATGTTGTCTTTGGGGAGCAATGCGGGGGGCATACCAACGACGTTTGGGACCAGAAACCCGCCAATTTTTCTGAAAAAGTAAATTCCTTACCAACTAAAAGTAACATTCTTACAAGCAGCTGACATTTTGCTGTCTTTCGTTATAAGGTTTGCTGCAATTCGCCCAACAAATACATTCTTTGACGTTTTTTCAAACTTTGTATTGCTTTTAAAAACTTTAGAATCCTTTGTCAACCAGGGCACATCGAAACAAATGTGCCCTTTTGTTTACTTCTTCAAAATTGTCTTTTTCAGTTATCAACTTCACCAGAGTACAGCGCTTCAACAAAACAGCGCTGTGGTTTTGTAAATCGGATTTCTAGCGTGGGCGGGAAATTAAAAGGTATTTAAATTTTTTTTTAATTAAAAACCCGGGCATTAAAATCGAATGTAAAATTTACCAAATATCTTTTTAAGCATTTAAAAGTAGGATTTCACTTAAAAACAGTTTAAAACTTTTACCGAAAAAAGGTTTGGGGGCAGGTTTTCAAAAACAGGACTGTTATAGGACTATCATGGAATTGGGTTTTTAATCCTTGTCCATCTTTCCTTAAGAAGCAGATTTCCGTTACAGGAAAGGTTTATGTGCCTCCCAAAGTTGGGGGTACTTTAATTTTTGGGGGCCCTTCTGAAAAATAAAGAAAATTTATAAGAAAAAGATGAATAATAAAAAAGATTATAATTTCTATTTTATTTAAATGGTCAGATGGTGTATAAAGTGGGGAACCCCCAATTACTTTAAAAATTATTTTTCAATCGGAACCCCTTTGCCCACCTCGGTGGTAAATAAAAAAGGCAAAACCAAAAATTTAACCGCAAAAAACAAAATTTGCCGGGAATGCACGGAAAATAAAAAATTCAATCTTAAGAAAATGAAAATTTAATGTTAAAATTTTCAATCATTTTTTCGTTAATTCAATACTCAAAATTTTTTAAAATGAAAGTCTTAAAAAAGTACTTATGTCAAACAAAAAATTATTTTAGGGCACCAAAAATAATTAAAATTACTTAAAAAAAAAAAATAATGGTTCCACTTAAAATTACCGGAATTTCAAAAACAAAACAAATTATTCTAAAAGTTTAATTCAAAAACACTAAAACTATTATACAAAATTGTTAGTTATTTTTTCAAAAACTGGCCATTTTTTCAAATTTTTTAAATATTGGTTCTACTTTTATATTAAATTTAAAATTAGATTTTTTCTCGTTTTAAAAACAAAACACGAGAGATTTCAAATTGGATCTTAACAAATAACCCCTGTTTTTTTAAAAAAGGGTTCACCATTATAATAAAAGTGTTTTTTTCCCCTTTTTCAACCAAACCTGGTGACTATTCTCAGAACCTGGTTTGTAGTCAGTAGCAAAGTTGAAATTGAGAACTGTCACTCTGTTACACACTACCTTTAGGTGTGTAGAAGTTTTGGTTATTATCCAGTGTTTGAGTTTATCAGTTGGTACATTGTTTAGAAACTGTATATTGTAACCGCTTGGAGTACATCCCTCAATACGATAACTGTGTAATCAGTGTAGCTTGTGTTGCAAATATCGAGCTCTCTTATCTTTTGTAAATTTGCAATAAGTTCAGTTTGCTGTTACCGCGTAGTTTACCTTTGCGTGTGTACTTGTACATTACTATACAAGTACACTATGGGGGATGACCCAACTTTGACCCGATCCCAGGAGTTGATTAAGGAGTTCAACTATGATCAACAGGAAGATGTGGAAGGCTGTGTTGCACGCTGGTCCGATCAGTTAGAAAAAGACCTGCATATGGACTACCGTGAAATTGACTACGAAAGTCGTGAAAAGATCAAGACTAAGGATAAACAGACTCTGTCTAGATGGATTGTGGATGCAGTGGACCTTGTTCGTCGGCAGAGTAGTCAGATGTATCTCTTGAAGGAGATCATCGAGTGCTTCAAGACGGAAGCACTAGCAGACAAAGAAAAGGTGATCAGACTGCAGGGCCAGCTGCTGATGCAGAAGGACGAACAACTACAGTTGCTTAAGACGTCTGTTGAGGAGACAGTCCAAACAACGGTGGAGTCAGGGATTCAGAACTATAGTGCAGCTGTTCAACAGAACAGTGCAAGTGGTACGGTCTGCAACAGTAAAATCCTGAAGAAGGTGATGAAGAGTGTGGCTGCAGAGGAGGACAGGAGCAAGAACCTGATCGTGTTTGGGCTGAAAGAAGAGGAGGAAGAACAGCTTCCAGCGCTAGTTACCGCAGTTTTGGAGGAGATCGGGGAGAAACCTCACTTCGAAGCGACTAGAGTCGGTTGGAAGAGGCCAGGTAGTACGGCTATCCGACCAGTCAAGATCACCGTCCCAAGCTCAACAGCGGTTCATCAGATTCTGATGAAAACAGGGAGACTGAGGGAGACGCACAAAGATGTATGGATATGTCCAGACAGATCCAGCGAAGAACGAGCAACAAGGAAGCATCTGGTCACTGACCTGAAGAAGAAGAGGGCGGAACAGACTCATCTCGACCACTACATCCGGTACGGGAAGGTATGTAGCCGTGATAAGAAGTCATCATGAGTTACACTCTCGGACACTGATCAGTATATGAAGGAGTGATGATTATTTTAAGAATTTTCAGACGTTATCTGTATTTAAGAGACAACTATATATTTTGAATATTTTATTATTTGATTGTTTCACACTTTTCATATTTCATAATTTTATTACTAGGTGGAGGTGATGTTATTGAGACTTTGGGCGGCCAAAAAGCATTTGTTTTGAAAGTTGTCCTCTGTACTTGTTTCACTGACCCACGCTTTATAGCATTTATACATTTCGGCCCATTTTATATGTTTGTTCGACTTGCTGTACATTTGTATATTTGCTATTTTGTAAAAAGTTTTTTTTGTAAAAGTTTCAAATCACTGATTGGTTCTATCTCTATTAATCCAAATATATTCCCCACTACTCCCACCTTCTCCAGATAGAGTATAACACACAACAATATAACCCCCTGACTCTGTAGTGTTAGTTATCATCTGTACTGGTTCGTAGTGTGACAGGGTGTAGTTTGTCTCAGTAACACACTGTATCCAACCTAGAAATAGATTAAATATTATACATGGAACACTTGATTTATACCTGTTAATAACGTGTCAATACTAGTAGTTACTACGTAACTTTTACATACTAGGGGGGGGGGGGGGGGGGGGTCCAAGGGGAACTTGGGGGAGTTTTGGGGAACTTTTTTTAAGGGAACTTCAGGAAACCTGGGGGACTTTCCCAAAGTTCCCCAAAAAATTATCAATGAAACAAATAATTTTGGGGAATTTTGGGGAATTTTTTTTGGGGAACTTCAGAAAGTTCCCCAAAATTCCCCAAAGTTCCCCAAAGTTCCCCAAAAAACTTGCTGCAAGTATCAACAAGTAAGTTAAGATTATACCTTATAATAACATACATGTTAACATTAATGGGTATTAATGTATATTAGAGAAATTTTGAATAATTTTGAATAATTTTGAATAATTTTGAATAATTTTGAATAATTTTGAATAATTTTGGGGAATTTTGGGGAACTTTGGGGAGTTTTGGGGAACTTTTTTTTGGGGAACTTCAGAAATCTTGGGGGACTTTCCCAAAGTTCCCCTTGGACCCCCCATACTACTAGTAGTTTCCAATTAACGATTACGCTAGAGTAATTTTGACACAATAGCTATGTGTAAAACTGATTACGGAGGGGGGGGGGGGGGGGGGGGGCGGGTAAAAATTGCCTAAAAATTGATTACGTAATATGTGAACGACCCCCTGTTACATATAATTATATCATTTACCTGACTCTATTTCGTCAGTTTGATTAGCAACATCTTTACAATCCTCACCATCACTGTCTTGTACATCTTCACTACTTTCATCAACTTCTAGCTCTTCTTTAGAGCTACTTGACTCTTCAGTATCTCTCCCTTTAACAAACTTCTCTACAACCGCTTTCATTTCAGCACATTCAGAATCTTCGGTAATGGCGGCCAGGAAGTCTGTTAATTCATTTAATTCAGAAGAAAATGTACAGCTGAACTTCTGGATATCCAGCTTTTGTAACATGTACAGAGAATTATCATCCAATCCCTTGCATTTTAAGGTTGAAGAAATGTAGGATATAACAAAATTGCTGATCATGTTCAGATCATTAGCAGCAATAACTAAGGACATGTCAATCCGACGTTTGGGTAGCGCAGAAAAGCCAGCCATATATCTCTGTAAAAAGATAAATTTACCGTTACCACTGAAAGTAACATTCTTCACAAAACAGCTGACATACTTGCTGTCTTTCAGATTGTAATGCGCCCTGCTAGCAATCTCGCAAGCAAATAACATTTCTTTGTACGAATTATTCTCAAACTTCAGTACGTCTGCTTTGTAAAACTTCAGACATCTCTTAGTCAACCAAGACACATCGAATACATGTGCCATTTTGTTAACTTCTTCAAAGATGTCTTTTTCCAGTTTATCGACTTCACCAGAGTACAGCGCTTCAACAAAACAGTCGACTGCTGGTTTTGTGAAATCATCCATTTCTAGCGTGGACTGAAATTGTACAGGATATTAATATATTTTACAGTTCATAACCAGACATGATTTAGAATCGAATATTCGAATTGTCAAATTTACCAAATAATCTTGTAAGCTTTGAAAAGTAGCTAATTTCACTAAATGAACAGTCTCAAATCTTTTACCTGGAACAGGTTGGTGGTGAGCTTGTCAATAACAGGACTGTTATAGGACATGATCATGGAATTGGTTTTAATCTCTTGTCCATCTCTCAGCTTCAGAAGCAGATTTCCGTGTACAGGAGAGTTGATGTGTTCTACACCAAAGTTGGCAGGTACTTTAATTTTTGGAGCCATATAGCTGAAAACTGAGATTGAAAGTTGTAAATACAAGTATAGGTGGAGAATATATAAGTATTGGGGGAGGAAGTTCTAATTTACCACCGATTTTGCGGAAAGAAAACAACTGTGGTAAATGAGAATTTGCAGCAAATCGGGCATGGTAAATTGGGGTTAAATAACCGTATCTTTGCGCATCATTTTTATTTTTGAAGATGAATGGATCCACATTCCACAATGTCGTAAGATTACTTATGTGTTTCTGTATCAATACAAGGAGGTCGAGTAAGCAAAACTTAACATTGAAACAAGAAAATATAAAAAGTTCAATAAATTAATTTGCTCCACAATTTAACTTACACATCACAGTATCCAAATGAGATCAAAGTTGGAACTAAAATCAAAACCAATCTCTATAATAATATAATGTTGTGAAAGGACATGAAGCGTTTTAATAATGTCACTGGAACTGAGCAGCTGTTACCACAATATAAAACTACAAACAATAACACTCCTCAGAAAAGAGCATGATAAGATGATCTCAGTAATCAGGGTATAATTACCACTCTTACATTCTCCCTGTGTCTACTGTTAATCTTAAGAGACACCTCATGTTCACCACTCTTAGACAGAGTCTCACTCAACAACACATGTTTCTCTGATGGTACAAACAGGTTCAGTTCACTCCTCAAATACTCTAAAATATCCTGTTTTGTTACCGGACCCTCAGCTTCAAACTTAGATCTCTGTAAAAGTTCCCTGAGCTCAGGATCGTTGTAGAAATGTTCGTCCTCCACCCCATCATCAGCCTCAACCCCACTGCTGTCAGCATCAACCTCACTGTACGCGCTGACATTCTCTGTAGTAGCGAACAGAGCATACCCAGGGTTGATAACACGCTCGAACACATCATCAATACTCCACCACATCAGAGTACCTGGTGGGATGATGGGTGGGATATCCCGTGGGGGGTAGTACTCCAGTCGGGGGTTCTTAGTCTCGTACTTCATCTCTTTTATGAAGATTACAGGGAGCTCTCTCTTTTCTAGCGGGACTGCTCTGGTTAAGCTCGTCTACTACTTTGCAAGTCTCCTGGAAATCACGTTTATCAAAACCTAGCATACTTGAACTAAAACTGTCAATAATATTTTAGTGAAATTAAACTATTTAAAGGGATCATGAAGTGTCCCCGACTTAATCGTCAAAACATTTCACATATACTATCACATAGAAACACTAATATAAGAATAGGGCTCGGAATTCCCAGATTCGTAACTTAATTATGTCGCGTGAAATCGATACTGGAAGATCGCCCTATTTTGTTGGATTGCGGCTAACTGTCAGACACCGCAATAGAAACAGTGTTAAAATGCACATTTTTATTCATGTGCTGTGGCGCCAATTTAATTGATAAAATCTTCAAATTAACGACACTTGATAGATTTGACTTTTATCTTTCGAAAATTGTGGTTGTATAATGTGCATAATATACACAAGCGTCAAATAATTGTCTGATAAATTTACTAGTAAAAGCTCTTACGGGCATTTTCTGCTCGATACGCTAGGGACTCCACATACATCTTTCTAGACGTACTTTTGACCGTCGAATCGATTAAACGTGGTTTTGAAATGATAAGTCTGAGTTTCCCCAGGTAAAATCGCAAAAAAAACGATTTTTGGGCCAAAAATATGCCAAAAAACCATGTTTTTTGAATTTTTGAGCAAGTTAATTTCGTTGGCATATCAGCAAAATGTGCATAAAGATAGCTGAAACACAGCCGCACATGATGGCATTAAAATTAAGCTATTATTCCAGGATTTCTTGCTACATTCAAGTTCCATGAAGTGAGCTGCCTTTAATTGCTTGTAGGAACTAGATTAATCGCTGTACACCAAATTTAGGAAGATATGTGAAATATAATGGTTTACACCTGATGGTCATCTTGTCGGTTCAAAAAAATAACCAACATAAAACTTGTTATGGACGATTAAAATCAGGTGTTTTTACACATGTCGTATATGCTATCCTGTCACCTAGCCGCAACTTGGAAAAATGTAATTGATATGCCCCATATTATCTCAGCTTGTGAAGCAATTACGACGGAGCTATTTTGGGATTGCGGCAGAATTACCAAGCCTAGCGCACTACCCAAGTTTCGAGTATTTTTGAAGAATTCGCAAATTTACACTTCATGATCTCTTTAACTAACTAGATAAAGTTATAAATTTTGTCAGGAGCCTTGGTTAAAAAACAAAATGCCCCTAAAAACCCTGATTAGGGTCTAAAAGATAGCCCCAAACACCGCTCACTACGAGAAACAATACGCCCCTAAAAGATAGCCCCAAACACCGCTCACTACGAGAAACAATACACCCCTAAAAGATAGCCCCAAACACCGCTCACTACGAGAAACAATACACCCCTAAAAGATAGCCCCAAACACCGCTCACTACGAGAAACAATACACCCCTAAAAGATAGCCCCAAACACCGCTCACTACGAGAAACAATACGCCCCTAAAAGATAGCCCTCATTACGAGAAACAATACGCCCCTTAAAGATAGCCCTCATTACGAGAAACAATACGCCCCTAAAAGATAGCCCTCATTACGAGAAACAATACGCCCCTAAAAGATAGCCCTCATTACGAGAAACAATACGCCCCTAAAAGATAGCCCTCATTACGAGAAACAATACGCCCCTAAAAGATAGCCCTCATTACGAGAAACAATACGCCCCTAAAAGATAGCCCTCATTACGAGAAACAATACGCCCCTAAAAGATAGCCCTCATTACGAGAAACAATACGCCCCTAAAAGATAGCCCTCATTACGAGAAACAATACGCCCCTAAAAGATAGCCCTCATTACGAGAAACAATACGCCCCTAAAAGATAGCCCTCATTACGAGAAACAATACGCCCCTAAAAGATAGCCCTCATTACGAGAAACAATACGCCCCTAAAAGATAGCCCTCATTACGAGAAACAATACGCCCCTAAAAGATAGCCCTCATTACGAGAAACAATACACCCCTAAAAGATAGCCCTCACAACTAGAAACAATACACCCCTAAAAGATAGCCCTCACTACGAGAAACAATACGCCCCTAAAAGATAGCCCTCACTACGAGAAACAATACGCCCCTAAAAGATAGCCCTCATTACGAGAAACAATACACCCCTAAAAGATAGCCCTCACAACTAGAAACAATACACCCCTAAAAGATAGCCCTCACTACGAGAAACAATACGCCCCTAAAAGATAGCCCTCACTACGAGAAACAATACGCCCCTAAAAGATAGCCCTCACTACGAGAAACAATACGCCCCTAAAAGATAGCCCTCACTACGAGAAACAATACGCCCCTAAAAGATAGCCCTCATTACGAGAAACAATACGCCCCTAAAAGATAGCCCTCATTACGAGAAACAATACACCCCTAAAAGATAGCCCTCACAACTAGAAACAATACACCCCTAAAAGATAGCCCTCACTACGAGAAACAATACGCCCCTAAAAGATAGCCCTCACTACGAGAAACAATACGCCCCTAAAAGATAGCCCTCACTACGAGAAACAATACGCCCCTAAAAGATAGCCCTCACTACGAGAAACAATACGCCCCTAAAAGATAGCCCTCACTACGAGAAACAATACGCCCCTAAAAGATAGCCCTCACTACGAGAAACAATACGCCCCTAAAAGGCATCATGTAGCCTCCAGGCTCGACAAACCCCGACAAACCCCGACAAACCCCGACATATCCCGACATATCCCGACATACCCCGACAAACGGGGTTTGTCGGGGTTTGTCGAGGGGTTTTGCCTCGGGCCCACCGGCTACATGAGGCCTTCTTGTATAGTGTTTTTCCACGTAAAGCTTGATGACTCCGTCTCGGCTTTTTGTTGGGAGACTCAAAAAAAAAAAAAAAAAAAAAAAGCCTCCAGGCTCGACAAACCGGAAAACCCGTCAAACCCCGTCAAACCCCGACAAACCCCGACAAACCCTGACAAATCCCGACAAACCCCGACGTGTCAAGATATGTCGTATCATGTCGGGCCCACCGGCTACATGATGCCTCCTAAAAGATAGCCCTCACTACGAGAAACAATACGCCCCTAAAAGATAGCCCTCACTACGAGAAACAATACGCCCCTAAAAGATAGCCCTCACTACGAGAAACAATACGCCCCTAAAAGATAGCCCTCACTACGAGAAACAATACGCCCCTAAAAGATAGCCCTCACTACGAGAAACAATACGCCCCTAAAAGATAGCCCTCACTACGAGAAACAATACGCCCCTAAAAGATAGCCCTCACTACGAGAAACAATACGCCCCTAAAAGATAGCCCTCACTACGAGAAACAATACGCCCCTAAAAGATAGCCCTCACTACGAGAAACAATACGCCCCTAAAAGATAGCCCTCACTACGAGAAACAATACGCCCCTAAAAGATAGCCCTCACTACTAGAAACTGACCTGCCAGACTCGCATAGTGACCTCTCTGTCCATCTTGTCCAGGATCCTGTGCAACAGGTTTATCCGTTGATCAATGTGGTCGAGTGGTCCGAGTATGTACCGTTTACTGTACAGGGTCCGTGACTGTAGGTACACGGTGGTGGTGGGTACTGGACGGTACGCTGGTACCTGGTGTGGTCTGTAGAGGGATGTGAGGAGGCGGCAGAGAGGTTGGTGACGTGCTATACAAGTCATGGTATCTGGGATTATTGTTGTGGTTTTAAGTTATTGGAGATCAGTCCTATAAACATAATATACTGATTAACATAATCAATAAGATAAAGTAGATAACAAAGAGCTTGGTTAATTTTATATACAGTATAATACAGTTGTGTAGTATAATGAGATTTTTCAATTTCAGCATATTTCTCGGGGACGACAAGTTATACACGATGAGATTCAGATTGACAATGTTCAATGTAATGCTGAAACAAAACACTGTTCTGAAATCTCAAGATTCAACGTCACAATCAAATAATATATCAATTAAACATAAACGATATTATTTACATTTAAAACAGCTTTATCTGCAAATTTCACGTTAAACTTCATATAATATAATATTATATAGAACCTTTCATGGCATCAAATTTTAGCTTTAATAAACTTAAATTCGATCTTTGTTATTGTGCACTGATTGATTAACTTCTATTTTATTTTAAAAACAGCCGTAGTTTCATGTACACATGTACTGCACAACCCTTCATCTTGTAGCTAAGAATCTGTCAAAGTTTTCTTCCGGTTTCCACTATAAATGAACAAAAATTGAACGAAGCTGAACATACACTGCGATTGAATAACATTTATTTAAGGGGGAATAATCTGAATGATACAAAGAACAGTAAAAATGGACAAATAGATAATAGCACACACAGTCAAGCTTATCAACTTCTATAAATATCATACTATCTTCTAATCTACCCGCCCTACAATTAAAGAATTAACTGTATAATCACTAATTAGCTAATCACTAACATCACTAATAAACTAAAAACCCCAGGATTGTGGGCTCAAAGCACGTAATACAACAACAAAAACATTACAGTAAGAGTCACAAAACAGCCGATATAAAACAAGTACTGATCGTGAGCTGATCGCCGCTCTACTAGTTTCATTACTGTTGTGGAGAGACCGAGAGTGTTGGCTATTCCTGCCATGCGGTTCTTGATAGCCTGTAATCATAAATTTGTTTGAAAGGCTGACATTTTAGGGCATAGTTTGATGAGCAGTGAAACAATCTCAAATTTCAGGAATCTGTGAACAAAAATATTCACTGAAACAACCTGTCATCCAGTTATAATCCTTATCGATAAAATAAAAAATTTTAGTACGTAAGAGTCTTTAAATGAGAGGCAGAGAGTGAGAAAGGTAAAAACAAACCCCTAAAGTTGAGCGCTGATCACGGAGTTGTTTGAGAGCCTGAGCTCCTGTATCAAGCATCCTGTCCATTCCTCTGTTGGAGTGACTCACTTTATCGTTAAATGACAAAGCTGCGTCTAGTGCTAATATTGTGTCCTGAGGAGTATAGGACTCTTATCACCTTCTTAACTTAAGCTAAGTTGACTCAGAATAAGGTTTTGTCATTGGATCCCATTCTTTTGAGAAGAAAAAACGTTAGTGAACTGATCATGTGAATGGCACTTACTGAGTTATCATTAGCAGTGAACTGTTTGCCCAGTAACTCCTCCCTCTCCGTTTTCTGCCTCTCATGTGCACTGAACTGGGTTCTGTACTTCTGAAGTGCTGTATTCAGTGCTCTACTTTCGTGCATTAACTGGTCGTATCTGGAAACCATGTAATTTTAGATGATAATGATAATGTTCCAATAATATCTTTATCAGAGCATCTCTTTCGAATTTTTATAAGCTAGTGGCGAAGAAGGAAAGGTTGTTGAGTTATAGTCTGGAACAACCCCAAGATATAATTTTTCACTCGGAGTTTTAGTGTACATTACGTTTTTTAGTTTTGGAACCACTATAATGATTAAACATATCCCACAAAATATGAAATACACAACAGTACAATGTGTACCTGGAACAGGTACCTGTACTTGGAGTTGTGTCGACGGTGAGCAGGTTCCTTTCTAACAAGTATATCCAGTCTCTCACAGTCTCCTGACAGCTGTTCCTGAAACAATAACTGTTTAAATACTTATTTAGTTTTGTCATAAAAATAGCAAAAGCTCTTGTGATTAAGCTCTATTAGAAATCATTAATTGTGAACAAAGAAATCGAATGTTAGTCCAAGTCTATGATGGGATAAATACATTATTTTTAAATTTATAAAATTTTGCATTGAATCATTTTGTTTTAAACGTGCTCTGATTAATAACTTTCTCTGAGCAACAAATTACATATTCTAATCTTGATAACACTATAATCATATTTACCTGAAGTCCAATGATTTGACTCATTACCGTGGCATCTCCTTTGCCATATGCCTCAACTAGCTGTTGCAGTTCAAGCAGACGCCGGTATGAAACTGGCATCAACCTCTCTATTTCACTCATGGCTGTTAATATATGATGATGAAAATCTAATTTTTACAGGCTACAATGAGAATTTTAGTAACAAATGTTAATATGAAGTTAGTGAATAGTATAATACAATCATTAAGGAGATTGGACGTTGATCAAACATTACATTTTTTTAAAAAATCTAAAACTTTTCAAACAATACATAATTATACAGAATTGAATGCTTCTAAATAAACCCAGTTATAAAAGGAAAAAACCGATATAGCCCTAATTTTCACTATCCCAGAATATTGAAACCCAAATTATGTATTGAAAGAGGGGTAACCAAAACACGGTAGTGTGCAGTAATACCACACCCTCAATAACATTGGGCCCTAGCAACAATTAATTAATCAATGAATCAAAACATATAATATTGTACTTATAGAAAATATAAAACTCTCAAGGCTCCTTCTCCGAGCTAATGACTCTAAAGTTCCTGATTACGTGAACTTTGTCCGGCTCTGCTGTCCTTTTATTGAGTAGCTGGACGACAACATTCTTGTAGGCTATTCTGTCTGCAGCTGATCTATCAGGAGTAATGTAAACAGAACTAAACCCCTCTACATGTCTTAATAACTTAGTCTTGCTCAAGATGGTACGAGCTTGATCTGAGCTTGACAAAGTGAATTTAACTGGTCTGACTCGTTCACTTGTGTCCTTTCCAACTCTATTACATCTCAAAATTTTTGGTTTTTCGTTGAGATGGTCCAACAAAATACCAGATACCTTAGCATCCAGGTTCTCCTCGCCTCAGTCTCTGGAATCCCAAAGATAATCAGACTTTTACTTCGATCTTCTTCTAGGGCAACCCTTTTCACTGCAGCTTGGATTTTCTTCGGTGCAAAGGCGTTTTTGCACGTGTTTTTCAACAGAGACGAAAAGGTCTTAATCTCTTTCTGAGCTGCACTTTTCACAGTTCCAATCTCGTCATCCTTCTTCAAAGCTAACTTTTCCTGCAGATCACTGATTTTTGCCATATCTTCTTCTTGCTTCGAGAGTAACTTCTCTTGTAGTTCTATGATCTTAGTCGCATCTTCAATTGCACACTGTCTCTAGCCATTCTGATAACTTCTCTCTAGACACACTTCTCTGGTTCAGTTTGTCGAATTGCACATCATCGTTGTGTTCGGCACCGATTTTACTTCTAATCTCCTTGAAAATACTGTTAGTTGCCATGTGTATCTGATTCGCATACTCCGTAAGGAACTGGCCATTCATAACCATAGCATCATCTACCATATCCAAGTGTTCATTCTGTAGCGGCAAAGGCATCGTACACGTTGTACAGAAAATGTACAAAAAATGTATACAAATCTACAAAGCCAGAGAGATAATTCAACGCGCACACAAAACTGCTGATAAGAGAGCTACAATTTAGCAACGAATGTAAAAGTGTAATATCTGATGTTTAACAATAAAAGAGAACAAAGTATGGACCTCGTGCAGTAAGTTACTGGTCTGATAAATTCATTAAAGAGCTCCTCAGACAGAATATTGCCAAATTGTCTTTCCTCTCTCACGTCATTGTAACTGACAGGGAATATCCCTGTGCATGATCCAGTAAGTTTGGCGATAATTTCATGAATAAACTTGCTGATGATCGTGAAATAGACCTGTGCAGTGGTCCAGATCAGCAACCGAATCACTTAGTTGGACGAAATGAACCCAGGGGGGGGGGGGGGGGGGGGGACTCCCAACCCAACGCTTGGACAGGTAGTTGATGCACCTTTCACAGTTAAACAAAAATTTCAGTTAAACAAAAATTTCAATTTTATGCCATTTATTAATACAGAATAAACAAGTTTACAATAAATCAATTTGATATTTAAAGGAATCCTAATTAAATTAGGATAAATTATTAAATTTGTAGTATGGTTGTCATTATATATAGGGTGACGGGGTACGGTAGAGGAGTGTGCGTGCTGTTCGCTATTGCTCACACCAAACGTTAACCTAGTAAAAGTTTTGTATCGACACTGGTCTCCATCACGATACAAAATTAGGATTGTAGAATTTATTGTATATAACTATTTGGAATGGAGGTAGCGGCGTGGTTCAATAGAGTGACAGCTTACTGATTAAGAGTTGTTTTTAAGTGAGAATAATGGGTACATTTTTGGACCTAAAGGCTGCAGTATGGCAACTTTAAAAAACTTTGGTCTACTTGCTGTGAGGTGCCTCAGTTACATGGGTTGGGGTCCCCCCTTTTTTAAAAATGGGAACATAACATTTTAATTATGTGTACTGATGAGGACCCTTAACCCTTAAAAGATCCAGCAGTTTTACATTTTTACAGGGCCACTTGTACTTTTCATATAGCCATTAACCACCCATGACCCATCCAGGTTATTCGACTATGTTAAACTTAGAGAAATCACCGATGTTCTTAAGATTTCGAAATAAAGGCGCTTCCTTATATACCCCAAATGTCACATAAATAAAGGTTTCGTCAAGAACATTGTTATTATGTGTGGTATAAATGATGTTAGAAGACCATCTGTTAAATCTCAGCGTGAAATTTTTGCTATATTTAGTCATCTAGAATTCAAGATTGAGCAAATTCAAGAGGCCAATCCAACTGCCCAAGTATTTCTTTGTCCTCTTTTACCAACTCGAAATGCTGATTTAAATAGGAAAGTTCTTTACTTTATAGAACTTATTCGTCGTGAGCTACTCCCCAAAAACTTTGGTGTCCAGTTCGTTGATGGCTTTGATGACTTCCTTGACAATAACACTGGCTTACTTTGCCTAACCTTGTCCAGGGAGTTTGACAGATATGGCCGAACGGATTACCTGCACCTTAATTGGAAGGGAGTGGCCAAACTTGCTACTTTAATCCGTAATACTGTCCTTGTTAGGATGCATGGAGGGACTGATAGGAGGAAGAGGGGGAGGAGGGACGGTAGAGCTGGTTCAACACTTTATTCTGATGCCGCCAGAGAACAGCCTCGTGTTGAAGGCTATCAGCCTCCAACATGAATGTTCTTAAAAAAGAGGTCTGTGCCCACTGTTTAAAAAGTATTTACTTAGGTCAATCTATAATTGAATGCTACCACTGTAATTGTCCCATTCACTCTAGATGTTTTAACACCAGTGACAAACAAAATAAAAAAGTTGACTTGTACTGCAATAATTGTCTCCACCTAGCAGTAAACCGTTATAACCCATTTAAGCTTCTGAATGATGACAATGATGACAACACTGATGCAGATGATGTAATACGTAAAATCTCTGATGTACTTGAAAGCTGTGACTCATATTCTGTAAAAGACATAAACCGCACCTTTGCTAACGAATTACAAGTGCAAAACTCACTAATATTTCAAAATCTTGATGGCAACAAATCAAACTTTGACTCGCTGGCAATTGAAATAGCTAGGTTTACTAACAAATTCTCTGTAATTGGTCTTGCTGAAACGAATGTAGGCCCTGAAATGAAAAACTTGTACGAACTCACAGGCTATGAGAGCTTCTATCAAGATACCTTCGACTCGAAAGTAAAAGGCTCAGGAGTAGCTCTATATGTCCTGAACTCCTTCAATGCTGTCAAAAATAGCAACCTTTCCGAAGTGACAGAAAATCTAGAAACCCTCTTTGTAACTATGGGTAGTCTAGGAAACTCTACTTCTATAGGAGTAATATACCGCCCTCCAAGTGGCAATGCTGAGCAAGCTCTCCAAGAATTGTCGTCAATACTTGATAAAGCACCAAAACATACACACATTGCAGGTGATTTTAACATTAATCTCCATAGTAACCACAGTAGTGGATATAGAAAGGCTCTAAAAAAGGTTCGTAAAAAAGCTGTATCTGAATATTATTCTGACAAGTTTCTTGAAACTCAGGGAAATTCCAAGAAAACCTGGGAACTGATAAATAAAATTCGTGGCAAACAGAAACGTGATATCAGACCTATATTTACCATAGACAATGAAAAGATAACTGATCGCAGAGTTATAGCTAATGAATTCAATAAGTATTTTGTATCCCTAGCATCTAACCTTAATGCAGCCTACACAGAACTAGGAGAGATACAAATAAATCAGCTTCCAAGTTTCTGTGACTTCTTACCTAAATCGAATACAGCTAATATATATCTACATGACTGCTCACCTGAGGAGGTGGCTAAGATCATATCGGAACTTAAGAATGGCAAGGCTAGCGACATACCAGTACATATAGTAAAGGCAGTATCAGGCAAAATTAGCCCACTACTATCGGTATTGTACAACGAATGTATGCAACAGGGATTTTTTCCAGACGACCTAAAAGTAGGTAAAATAAGTCCAATATATAAGAAAGAAAATGCTGAGCTTCTTGAAAATTACAGGCCTATCTCAACCTTAGCAATATTCGGTAAAATACTTGAAAAAATCATATTCTCCAGGCTTTACAGTTTCTTTCAGTCGCAAGGATTATTATATGAAAATCAATATGGCGTTAGAAAAAATCACTCGACAAGCCATGCACTCAACTTTTCTGTCGACTACATTGAAAAATCTTTAAGAGATAAAAATCACGTACTAGGCATCTTCATTGATTTAAGTAAAGCTTTTGACACAATCTGTCATGATAAACTGCTTAAAAAACTGAATGATTATGGAATTCGAGGGACTGCAAATAAATTGATAGCCAGTTACCTTTCTAATAGACAGCAATATGTTTCAGTACTTGGAGAAGAATCCGAAAAACTGTCTGTAATATTTGGTGTTCCTCAGGGGTCAGTATTAGGTCCCTTGCTTTTCATTATCTACATCAATGAAATATATAGAGTATCAGACCTAGGTAAGTTTATACTTTTTGCCGATGACACCAACATATTTGTTGTAGATAAATGTATAAAAACACTTTACTGCAAAGCTAATAAAATTCTTAAACTTGTTCATCAGTATATGAAGAGTAACTTGCTGCATATCAACATAAAGAAATGTTGTTATATCCACTTTAAGCCGAACTGTAGAAATGAACCAGATTCAAACACCAATGAATTAGAACTGACACTAAATAATATAGCAATTAAAAAGGTGGAGGA